TAACACAAAAGCAGGCAGAGCCCCAGTTGTTTTTTCAATATCCACCAGAGAACCTTATACTCAGTGGATTGGAGCAGCTTATTCATAATTCAATTAATTAAAGAGTGACCAGCATTCCCAGTGCCAATGACCCAGGCAGTACCCTGCCATAAGAAAATACAGCTCCACCACATATCCCATAGCTCTACCACAAGGCCTATCTGAGCCCATCGCTCGCCTGTCCTACTGCCTCCATAATGGTGCACCAGCCACCGCAGAGGCCATAGCTCCAGCTCCAGGCCCCATAGCTCCTCCACCACACTGCCTCTGCCTGCACGGGGAATGAGGGATTAAATATAATGCTTGCATGTCAAGTCTGCAACGCAACAGAGAGAGCGAGGAGGAAGGAATTTGTCAGAACTCCATAAACACATACATGGATTCGGCTCCCGATGCCAGCGCTCCGAGCAAGGAGAACTTTCCGGAGGCTCGCTGAGCGACGGGGAGGCCGACGGTGAGAGTAAGCAGGGCTGCTGAACGAGCCCAGGGTTTACGCAGAGGCCAGCCAAGCAGCAATGATACACTGCGCTGGAGGAGAAGGACACCGGGGGAATGGGAGAGAAGAAAAGTGGTAGAAATGAGAGCAGAACAAAGGAGAAAGAAGAGGATAGATAGGACATACTAAACCCCTGCAACCCCTATATGCCCCCAAACCCCTATATGTACATATAGAAAGAGACTGAGATAGGATCAGGGAGGGAGAGAGTAATAGAGAACGAGAAGGAGTGAAAGAGGGGGGAAAGACAGAGGAATTAACAGGACATGCCCACTGAAATTTTCCAGCGTCTCTGCCAGAGAACAACAAAAAAAGAGGTCAGTCCAGATGCCGTTCACTGACTGTTCACATGTGGTCCAACTTCCCTGCAGCGGAGGGGTGGAGAGATTGCCGAAGAAAAGGGGTGTCGAAGAAGGAGTTTAATCGTGGTTTGGAGGGGAGGAGGGAGGTGTGGGGGATATAAATGGCTTTAATCATATTATGTGAAGAAGAACCTGGACTTCATTTTACCAGCAGATGTTGAACAGGTGGGGAATCAACCTTCCAGGAGGTCTGTCAGGGGGCAGAGGTCATGAGATGAAGCCACCACTAACTGTAATCTGTGCAGACGCTTTTCATGAATCCGATCCAGGAAGAGTTATAGATCAATAAATTTGACATGCAGCAAGGGCAAGACAAAGTTTAAAAATGGACTGATGGATCTTCCTCTTTGAGCCCCAGTATAGCTGCCTCCACTCGACGATCGGCCCTGTTGCTCTTGGCTCGGTTGGTGGAAGAGGAGCAGCCTCCAGGGCCCGGCCCTCCTCGGCCCTCTCAGCCACTGGGAGGTGAGCTCCGCAGTGGGTGTAAAATACTGTCGGGCGGATATATTTCTGCAATGAAATATGGATGTAAGCCTTGTGTGAGCGCGCGCCTGTCTGTTTCCGTGCGCCCGCGCAAGGTTAACTGGAGGTCAATGCTCACTTTGCCGCCACAGACTTGGCGGCGCTCCAACGTTGGAAAAGCAGCAGCAGTGTCTCTTACTCCCTCTCTGTCCTCTCTCTGTGCTCTTCCTCCTCGTCCTCTTCTTCCTGCCAGCGTTGCTGTAGTTTGCGTGCAGATAACACGCAGGGAGCCATGTGGTGTGTATCTGTGTTGAGCTCTGGGCTTAGCACTGTGGGAGTGGGGAGAAATGTGGGCTCAGAGCACGAGAAGTGAAGGAAATGAAAAGCCTAACTAGTTCACAAGTGAGACAGGAGTCAGATGAGCCCAAGGAAATATGACAGGAGCAAACTTTTCCCCACACACGCTGCTGATGATTTCAGAAGACGGGGCTGTAAAACTGTCCGTGCAGATAGTAAATACTAAAAATATCAAATAATAACTGACCTCAGTGCCAAATATGTTGCAATCTTTTGGGATTATTTGCTTTCTTGCTGAGGATGAAATGAGAAAAAAATCAAGGACCACCATCGTGTATGTACACTGAGCCAGCAGCCGATTAGCTTAGCTTAGCATTAAGGCTGGAAACAGATAGCCTGGCTCTGCCCAAAAGATAAGAAAATGAGCCTACAAGCACTTTTAAACTCCAACTTACTTATCAACTTAATCTGTTCAAAACAAACAAGATTAAACATGTTAATCAGTGAGCTTCAGAGATGCTGGTAGGTGGTCTGACAGAGCAGACTAGCTGTTGCCCTTGTTTTTTTTACAGTCTTTGTGCTAAGCTAAGCTAACCAGCTACTGGTTCCAGCGCTGATGCTTTACCCATGATGGTCTAGGACTTATTGGTGTTCATTAAAGGCAGCTAAACAACAATATTAGATTGTTTTTTAAAGGTTACCATCCTTTTTCTATACTTCTGCAGTGAGCCACACAACAGAAGGTTTTGTTCCAAGGTTGGATTCCTGGTTATTTACTGTTTTTGTGGGGTTTGAATGAGGTTTTCTTACTTCTGGAACACAACCTGGAAGTTCCCGTTTAACTTTGGCTCTCTGTAAAGTTCTAGTGAGCTGCAGAGGTGCTGCTGGGCAGATTATGTTACCTTTGTACACTGCCAAGCTATGTAGAACTGGGCTATTTAAGTGTGTTGAATAAGTGCTTCTTACCCAAAAAGCACTGCGTTTCTGTGTGAACCCTCATTATCAAATGACATAAAAACACAAAATAAGGTTCTTGGCAAGAAGAAAAGTTTTATCTTGAAAACAGTGCAATAGTTCTCACCCTTGACATCGTCTTTTGATGCTGCTGCCAGCAACAACTGCTTATTGCAGCTCAATGTGCCAACCAGAGATAGACAGAGTGTACAGCGGAGGCCAGCACGCCGGGCCGATAAGGAGGCGTCTCAGACAGCTGACTGGGCCACACTCAAGATGAAATCTGGAGGGTTTGGCTTGCTGATGTACTGACAAGACCTTCATCATCTGCACTCCTCCTCCTCTCGCCAGTGACCCACATCCAACTCCAGATTCCACAACTTATTGCTGGAGAGTTATTGCTTTGGTTTCTATTCTGGTTGTGCCAGAGGGTTTAACAGGAGACGGTGTTTTGAGAGCGCGGGTACGAGCACACTGTAGTAAATTTCTGAGTTTGTTACTCAGTTTTGATGGTTTTCTCGTCCTCTCTTTGAGCCCACAGAAAGTTTGCTGCCCTGCATGGTAGCTTACCCTCACCCTCACCCTCCTCCTGGGTGAGCGTCAATTATTCATAAGCCTTGGGTAGCTAACTTGAAACCGATAACCCACATGCTATTTATACTTCATTTCAAATGAACAAATACTTAACTGTGAAGTTCCAGGCAGCTTGGTCGTGTCTGTCTGCATAGCTGCTGCTGGGCTCGCTGAGGGGGTTAGGCTGAAGGTATGGCAGGAAGGAGGAGGAGGAGGAGTGTGGGGGATCTGAACCAGCAGCTGCACACTATAGGTGAGACTACAAGGCAGTAACCTGTAACTGGAGACATTCTCATTCTCCTCAGTGCCCATTTTTGTATGAATTAGTTGCTCTTAATGAAAGCTGTATTTACTTTACACCGCTCCATTTGCTTTATTCCCATATTTGTTTTCTGTATCCTGTTAGTTGCTGATGCAAAGACTCAGTTTGTCGATCAGATTCATCCAGATCGATTCAAATGTGGAACTAAAATAAACCTCATTTGTAGACGGAAATAAATCAAAGAACAGGGAAGAATAAATCAGTTTTTAAATATGATTTATTTTAGTATTTACTCATTTCTCTATAAATTGAAGTGGTGTAACGTTTTCTTTGGGCAGGCGGGAGGCACAGTGTTATCCCATCATCCTCTGCGTCTTACAGGCTGGTTGTGAGGGCTTTATGCAATTTACAGCTAGAAGAAACCCACTGGTGAAGCTGTTTTTGCCCTCTCGGGGTCCACAGGTCGAGTCCAGGGGAATCTCCATCAACGTATAACACCAGGGTTCCCACTTTCCAGGACATTTTCAAGGAGTTTTCTTGCCCACAAACAGTCATTTAATTTACCTGGAGGCCTGTTACTGACACATTTAACCCCAGTTTTTATCCTCCTTCATGAAGGTTGATCACAGGTAGGTGTTCGCGTTCGTGGCGCTCTTGGCTGTTCTCACCGCAGCAGATTTTTCCACTGCGGTCTCCAACAAACTGACTATAGTTTACGACAGCTTTCCTCTAACTTACATTGATGACTCGACGTCAAAATAGATCACCACAAGTGAAGTATCATCCTGAGAGTCGAGTTTCAAACTAAATAAGCACCCAGGTTTACAGGTGATCTGAGCGAGGGATTCTCCAGGATGTTTGGTCATTTTAATACATTTTCCAGGTTTTCCAGGTGTGTGGGAACCCTGAACAATCACTGAACATGGATATTTCTGTAGCTTGCATTAGTTAAGCAGCTTCATTGCCTGTAAGCCACAACTCAGAGCTGCAGCAGTGTTTTTATTTTAGCTGTTGAATGAGTGCGTGTGTGTGTGTGTGCACTCATTGTTAAATGCCTGGAATTTGCTCGTTAAGGTCTTAATGGACTGTGTATGAAATTGAGGTTATTTTTATATCCATATGGCATTTAAATTGACAATATGTGGGAATATATGCGGTGATATTGAGATTCTCATGTCAAATTTAGATTTTAAAAAGTGGTGAAAGTAAATTATATGACTTTTAGGTTTCACTACATTCAAAGTATGTTGTCACATTTGATTTTATAAAGTTATATCGCTCTTTATATAAACAGTCACAGGGATTAAAAGTGTGTTATTATTCAATCAGTGCTGCCACGAGAGAATGAAATGATTCGAGTGTGATGTTATCAACATGTTAGTGGGAAACTTGACTACACTGCTGAAGTACAGTTTATTTGGAATATGTACTGGAAGTGGAGCCTTTGCCTTCAGTGATTCACCACCACACGTCCCCAAATCACAGCCTGACTCACTGCTAGATCACAAGGAGTGTACTGCGGCATGATAAAGAAAAAACCATACACAACAGTATATCATGGGCCAGTGTGGATTACACTTAACAGTTTTATTTGGAATATTAAGACAATGAAGCATAAGCCAAGCACCAAGAGTGACAGCTACAAGTGTCGCATCATACGGCTCTTAAAAATGAAACAGGTTATACTGGAAAACGACTGGGTTTTTTCTCTCTCTTTGAATGGTGAAGCAGATACACAGAACAGACAGTGAAATGTGAACATGATTATGCCATTTACACGCTCCAAATCCTACCTGACAGCAAGAAGGGAAGGGGGGAAAGCAAAAGGAAAGAAAAAAGCAGAAGAAAATGGAAACAGCGATATTCGCCTGACGACAGCTCGGTCAGCCTGTGGCGGTGGCTGCGGCCCCCCGGGATTTAAAGGGCTCTTTGTGATTGGTCAGAACGAATAAGGCGGTCCGGGAACACGGCGGCGGCGCTGCAGAGTGACAACCATTAGTTCCCATCATTGTCAAGTCCTGTTGCCTCGGCACCCACATCCACACAGCAACCGATGTGCACATACAGCATTAAAGTGACAGAGGATTGCAACCATTGTTACACTACACTCCATTGCATATTAGGGAGAAGTAATAATGAAAAATAATAATTCTTTCATACATCTTTTTTTCTGTTTGCATATAGCACTTAACCCAGCTTTCTAAAATATATATGGGAACATGAAACAATGTTTAAAATATCTTTTTTTTTTTTTGTTTGTTTGTCCTCTAAGAGCTAAAACCATGAGTCGTACCGAGGTGGGGCGGGGTAGGAGTCCTTTATCCGGGGGCTGTTGCTGTAGTTTAATGGGGACAGCTAGCGACGCGACCAGCCTGTCTCTCATCCAGACCAGACCCAGTGGTTTCTTGTCACAAACGAGGCTCTCATAGTGCAGCTAAATAGTGTCATAGTAATGACAATATAAGGTCAAAATAGTTCAATTCACGGCATTTTGTTAATTTTTTTTATTTTTATTAAGAACATAGAATATACACATAAACACCCATCTTTGCTTTCCCTTTCATGGGTAACACAGAAAGGGTGGTGCTGGCTAAATGTGGTCCATGTTTACACATCCCTGGCATAGGGGGCGGGGGCGGGGGCGGTGGGAGGGTGCGGATGTGTGTCAATACCTCGGGGTAGTGCAGGTGTCCGAAGAAATGTGATAGCAAGTGTGTGCAAGTGTGACAGTTAATGCACCACAGAAGAATAAAACTTCTTTTTCATCAGGCTCCTATTATAGAACTCCATCATCCATCATACATACAATGTTTTTTTGTTTCTTTTCCTCTCTCTCTCTCTCTCTCTCTCTCCTAAATCTACGGGTTATATGGCAAACATGTGCTACGGTTAATGTCAGATATTTCCCATGGGGAAAACTGGGTTGAGAGGGTCCTGGGACTCTCCTTGCAATGGGGCCTGCCTGAGAATAAGGAGGGGGTGGGACAGAGGGTGTGTGTGGGGGGTGGGTGGGGGGTTTAAAGAGGCATTGTTCATAGGAGTCACTGTCATCACCCCTCACGGTCGACTCTAGCTTCCCCTCCACTGGAACCCTCCGTGTGGCTCTGTCCATACACTAATATAGTCCCACACGACGCACACGCGATGCACCGGGTCTGCAGCGCGGTGGAGGACGCGACTCCATCGACACGGCTTACGACGCCTGAACAGAAGTGAAATATTTCAGGACCACCGGCTTTTTTTTTTTTTTTTTTTCCCCTCCTTTTCTTCCTTCTCGTAACACTCACACAAGTCTCGCCATCTTGAGTTAAAACACAAACAGTGCTGTCTGGAAATATTTGGACGGTAGAAGGTTCTTCAGTTGTTTCGGCTCCGTAGTCGGCAGCGTATTGGTGACAAAACAGTGGCTATAAACAGGTTAAAGTGCCAACTCTCTGCTTTTAGTACGTTTAAGAGTGTTGATACTGGATGTACAGAGCGGGAAATGTAGCTGTTTTCATATGCAATGCCCCAATTTTAGGTCAAAGCAGCGGGATGTTTGACATGTTTTTTATACCAGACTGAAGGCATAAAAATGACCAAAACAAGCAAGAATAAAGATGACTGCAGTTTCAGCCTTTGCAAGACATCACCATAGACAGTGTCTGCTCACATACATGAGCATGTTATAGAATTCAGCAGTGGCTGATTGCAAAAGATCTTTAACTAAATGCTTAATATGATGACTTAAGTTTGTACAAGAAGCAGCACAATTCCTACCATGTTCACCCAATATTTATGCATTCTTTAAAGTTAAAGCTTTGAGTTGTCACTAAGCCCACCTGTCGTTTCAAATCCAATATACTGCAGAGCAAACACAACAGGAAAAAAAAAGCCCACTTTCCTAATACTTGCAGACTGTACTGTATAACACAAATACACAATTAAAGTGCTATTTACTTCAACAAATCCCTAGCCCACTCTGTGAGCACGCTGTTGCCACAACAGGGCTCTCAGTGAGCCTGCTCCATCTCTCCTCCTCCTCCTCCTCCTGCTCCTTAACTTCAGCCTAACATCGCCCTGACAGGGTTGGATAGAGAGTAGAGGGCAGGACAAACAGGCCTTAGTTCGCTCTGCACCACCCACAGTCACCTCCACATCAGCACAGGGATGTTAGGGATGTGGCCAGATGGGAGAGAGAGCGCAGTTGGATATAATAACAAAAAAAAAGGCCTCCTTCAGCCACACAGCAGCCATAAGGCAACACAGAGTGGCCCTTTTAGTACCCAGTAAATTTATATCCCAACATGGTAAAATTAGCCTGTGATTAGTGCCTGCAAGGGGGGGGCACTGTAAGGGAGTTGTATGCTATTGCTAGGAAGTAGCATGATAAGACAGGTGACAGTGAGCGAGATAGTACGATGTGCGCTTTCATATAGATATACATTTCTTCTCTTTGACAGTGTGGATGCTAAAAAAAAAAAAAAAATCCTGAAAAGTGCACGGACGAGCAACTCAAAATGTCGACCTTATTCCCCTTCGGCTTAACACTCACTCACTCACTCCTGCCACTCGGACACATACGGGTATTCAAGCTTTCTGAGAACAAAGTGCGGGGCAGTGGAACATTTCTGGGACTTTTATGAGGAAATGTTCTGATCACAATACAGTGAATGAAAGGTTAAAACTGGCTAGAGACCGTCACCAATTAGCTTTTACCACCTGCATAAAAAAGGTCTACTGTCGTATGGAGCCGACTTCCACTCCGTTTGTAAATCTGAAAAATAATTTTCGCTTTATTTCAACACCACTGAGCACATTAATAAGCTTCAGCCTACTAGTTATTACAGATAGCTGTGTTCGAGAGCTTTGGTCACAGACTCAGATATTCATGGGTAAAGAAACGACATTTGTTCATGATTCATCCTCACAGACGAGAACTACACTAACCTTTTTAACACGTGTGCGGGCTGATAGAAACACGACTGAGCGAACACATAAAACTAAAATATGAACTAGTTTGAAAACGTAGATTAACCTTTCTAGTGATCAGGATCTCATGCTTTAATATTTTAGTTTTACACATTACCTGCAGGGTTTTTTATCTACATAGTGTCCAATTAATGATATTTATGTTGCCTTAAAGGAACCACGTCTTCTTGTAGTTTGAAAAAGCCAGGTAATGTGTATCTCCTATTAATCAAGAGTAAAGACAAACAGTGTTGCTGATGGCGAACTTGGGCATCAGAAGCTGGATAATTCAGATAAAAATGCTCACAGTGAAGAGTTAACCTTCATGCCCACTCGTTCAGATCTATATGTCAAGTTGCGGACAAGAACCACATGTGAGGGATATCTTGCACTGAAATATGCTACAATAGGGCTGGCATTGGACCCACTAACAAACCTAATACTACCATACAGGCCATAATGTGGCAAGAGACTAATGCATGCATTAGTGAGTGACAACAGATGTTAACTAATGTACAACTTATCATTTCAGTAATCTGTCATAGCTTAATCAACGTAGCACCACTACAATTGGATCCGTTAGAAAAACTTACTAAGCACCATTTAGTAAGTGAGCTTAGAGCATCGTTATTATTCTCTTCAGTCTCATTTGATGGCATCCGAAGCACCTCCTGCTCCAAGTCGGGACTAAAGAGCAAATTATTATGGAACAAGATCAATGGTTCTCTAAAAAAAAAAAGGCACATAGGTTACACTTAATTTCTCTTCACAATGAGAACACAACGGAAATGACCGGCTAGCCAGCAGTGTCTTTATCCCAAAGTCACACAACTGAAATCATTCAGATTCCTTAACTAAAGCTCTCAACAGATACCTCTCGAGAGTTGAGCGTTGTCTGCACTCGATGCTATAACTGGGACTATAAACGCAACGGGGCTACGGGGGGATTTATCGGAGTTGAGAGCTTTGATAGTCGTAAGTTGCAACTCCCAAGAAAAGGAGTAGATCAGCTCTTTCCTGCTGGTGACACAGTGTGCTTCATAAGAATAGCTCAAAAGAAATATTAATTAGTAAGGAAAAAGGGAATATGGGAGTTGTAGTTCACAATTTTAACAAGCAGATTCTTGTTGAGTGTCACGTGATGTTAAATGTCCTCCCCCATGATCTGTGACCATATGGGGGCCTATCGTGTTTTAGAAGGGACATTTTGAACTTTCATAGTTTTCACCGACTACACATGTTCCCTCAATTCATCTGCAAAGACTTATTAGCATTCCTTACTGTAACCAAAGTGCAAAGCCATCTGCACCAATGTTTCAAGTGTCTTGTGAAGAAAGAAATACAAAATGGGATATGGGGGGGGGTTGAAGCTGTCCGTATGCCAGATGCCACCAAAAGATACAAACTGAAGTGAGCAGGTGAGTAAAACTAAAATTATAAAACACAATTCAATAAAGACTGCTCAAACGTTAGCATGGGAGCTAACTTTCATTCAGGAAGAAGTACATGCACAGTAAAATGTGCACAGACCTGAAGTGCCTGTGGCCAGTGACTGCTTTGACAACTGTAACAATGGCAAGAGTTGTCAAATTATTTCCTTAGAATATGTTCTGAAAAGCAATGCCGCTCCGTGGGAATAAAGTTTAAGCTTGCTCACAAAATAGGACACAGCAGACTGATTTATTATTCATCACTCACTGTTACTGCTTAAAGAAGAGCTAGTGTTTTTTAAGGACTAATCTATAGTCCTCAGAAAGCACGTCGTTTCCCTGATGTGCTTGTCCTGAACTCTATGGACCCTCCCAGAATCTGTCCCTGTCTCTGGCTGATTCTCATGCGTGCAAAAGGGATGGCAAAGAATGTGCCTTATGTAGCTCTATCCATGGGACGAGCTCTGACTGCAATATACCAATAGCACCTCCAGTTGCCCTCTCAACCCACCCACACACACACACACACACACACACACACACACACACACACACACCCTTAAAACCCTTTTGGGAAGGTGCTCCACTAGGTGCTTTGACAAGCTAAGGAAGCAAAAAATAAAAATAAAAATAGAGAAAGCACAAAGTGAACTGTACAATGTCGCCATGTGGGCCTAAATAGCAATTTGGGATGAACAAGGGAGGCATGCAGGCAGGTCTACAGGCAGGGTGATGTTGTGGGATCAGGCAGACATTTAGCACAAAGCAGGAGAGAAAAGACACAAAGCACTGATATTTGTGCCTTCCCTCCCTGTCGAAAACAACCTGTCCAACACAAAAAACGTGTGCTCGCCAGGCAGCGTTATACTGAATATAATCATATGTATTTTCTGTGATGTAAATAATAACTAAAACAAAGATTAGAATGAATCTTGTATAGCTTGTTACATTTAAATTCCATCCTTCACCAGAAAGAGAGCCATGTCAGTATAGCCTCTAATTGGCTAACAAGGAATTTCTCAAGTTCTGTAATCCTCCTGCAGTGTGTGTACAGGCGTTGGAGAAAGCCACCCTATTTGACCTTGAGTGGCGGTTCCCTCTCCAGCCAGCGAACTCGTACTTTCTGTTTATAGTGATACTCCTTGAGGAAGTCCTGCAGGGCAGGGGGCAACGGCAGAGAGCCTATACCATCGTAAGTGGTCCAGCGGCAGATGGCGGCTCGTGCCAGGTGCTGCAGGCCGAAGGGAAAGGTCCGATGGAGAGGCGCCGTGAGCAGCGGTTCGAAAAACATGCAGGCGCTGGGGTCCTTGTAGTGCTCCAGCAGCCCCGTGACGGTGGAAGAGTGGAAAACACAAGGGTCGTGGGCGTCAAAGCTGAAGTTGTGGTTCCACTGCTCGATGCGGGCGTGCAGAGAGCGGTTGTAACGGCGGAAGCTAACGGAGAAGAGGTAGTCCTCCTGGGCTGAGTCACGCAGCAGGAAGGTGCCCTCTGGCCGTCCGTCCAGCAGCGCCTCAGCCTCGTAGCGGTCCATCACGCCCCAGTAGCAGGGCAGAGCTGTGATCTGCAATAGGTCCGGCACCAGGCAGTGGATGTAGTCTATCTGGGTGTGAACCTTCCAGGGCCCTGGCTGCTGCCGGCTAAGGTGACCGTCCCCTGAAGCGTGCCTCTGCTTGGGCCTCCTGGCCTGCAGACAGAGGGTGGTCGAATCCTCCTCAGAGTCACAGTCCTGGGCTGACGCTGCAGCCGCCAGCACCTGCCCACAGGCCCCTGATGATCCAGCACCCACAGAGCTGCCAGCCCCCGAGGCCCGGCCTTCCCCAGAGGCCTCTCCCATGCCAGGAGCCATCTTTGGTCCCAGTTTGTAGAGAGAGGAGCCCGGCACTGAGGCCTCCAGGGTGTGGATCTGTGCATTAGGTGGTGGGTCCACACCTTCTTCGATGCTAAGTCTGCGGCGCTCGCGCAGACGTTCCTCCTCGTCCTCAGGAGAGGGGTGAGCTGGGTCAAAGGCATCCAGCAGGGCAGTGGAGGAATGCGGGCTGACCGGTGCTGTGTGTTGCTTGATCAAGTGCCACTTGTGTGCAAGGTCTGAGCCTGGTGGGAAGGGGCAGGTCTCCAGCATGAGCTCTGTCAGGTGAATCTTCCGTTTGGAGGTGACAGGGTTCTTAGAAGAGCGGGAGCATCTGCGAGCGGGAAGGGGTAAGCACAGCCCTACTGTATCACTCAGCCTCTGTCGCAAAGACCGAGCATTCAGACTGCGTCCTCCAGATACGGAGTCGCTCATCTCCTGGATGGAGCCGACTCCATAACGCCTGTCCCTACGGTTACCACTCCCCCGTATGCGCCCAGACCGCCTGTCAGCCTCCAGGGAGCTCTGGGTTTTGGTGGAACATGAGTGTTTTTTCTTGCCCCCCCATGGAGCGTGACGGGAGTAGGAGTCTCTCCGGGCCAGGGGAACACCCCCTGATCCCCCCCGCACATCCTCAGTGTCCTTGTCGATGGTGATCTCTACTATCTGAGGGATGTCGGACACACAGTTATGATGATGGCGGCGTCCTGTTGTCACCATTGGCACCGGCAGGAGGCTGCGTGATGGGCTGGAGGCTCCTGATGCCTGAGCCTCACCTGAGCTGCCTCCTTGGCCAAGATCCAACACACAGTGGACGGCATCGGCCTCAACCCTGCTTTCACTGGGTCCTGAACTGTTGTTGTGAAACAGTGTCTGGCATTTGCTCTTCAGGTTGCTCCACATGTTGCCCACTTTCTTCATCAATAGGAGCCCCCTGGGACCTGGAGAGATAACGGGAGACAAAACTGATTAAATCACAGGTGGAGAAATCTCGCAACAGCGACGGCGCCCACATTTAACACTGAGGTACCAGCTACATAAAGAATGTCCTACATTTAAATTCCCCAGACTACTGTGTATCTAGTAATTAGACATGGTGAGAGTATAACGGGGCCAAAGTGTCTGAGAGGTGGGTGAGCTTGAGTAGTTGGAACAGCAGAGTTAGGAGTTGCCAGGCAGACGTGCAGGGACACAAGGCCACAGCTATAAATGAACCCAGGATCTGCTCACAGCTGATCTGCTGGTATGTACTGTATTACAGAGCCAGTCTAGACCTGACCAAAAACTTTCCCTGTAACAGCAGCAGACAGGGGCACATGTACATGCACATACACACACACTCACATATGGCGTTGATTTATCACTCTACTAGAAATCTGACAGGGATTTGGAAGTCGTAGCACCAAACTGCGTTCAGATGATGCAAACTTTACACAGAGCAAAGTCACCACAGGTAGGTGGCCTGCCAAACACAAAAACCTCGAAGGACTCCATAATGCAGTATTTCCTTCCCTGTTTCAGACACTGTTTCTGGACTTCACGGTTGCATTAGGGTACATATTTTAGTGTTGCCGGTAAATCCAAATTACTGCAGCAAACAGCCAAAATATAAAATGTCCAGAACCAAAAAGGCTTTTGCAACTCCTTGTTCCTAAAAGTGAATTACAACACCGTGTGTGCACATTTATTACTTCTTGTTTCTTTCTGAAGGAAACTGAAGTGTACTGTGACTGCTAACATTACCCAACACTGACTTTATCCACGAGGAAGCTGCAAGCAGCACGTCATACAGTGCTTGTAGGAGCTATTATTGAAAATGTAAATCTCTAACCCTGTCAGCATTAATTGCATGTGCCATTTAAAAAGCTACAGGGACACAACAAAGTCTCCATCACTCCCTCCCTCCCTCTTCTTTTCTTTTCTAAAAGCTGCTCTCCAGGCATCATGTCGACCTGCGTGCAGAGTGAAGTTTGCCTCTTAACACTGATAAAGACGTCAGCTGTGATAGACAAGGCCTCTGTTATGCAGAGGAAACCGGACTGGTCTGCAGCACATGACTGATTAAGTTGATTTGCTGAGGGCAGATCCAAGGCCATCACTAACAAACTCATGACGTCAGCGTCCCCCACCCCACATTGACTTGCTTTGTACTCACAAAAGATGACAATGTCTCTCCACTTTACAGTCATTAGATGTGATACAAAAACAGCCTTTGTTAAAGTTGTTGCTATGAAAGAATATTTTTATTCACACAGCTAAGCTACATCAGCCAATGTGCCGTGGATGGTCCAAAAAAGCCCGAGTTAGTGTTGTGACGTCTTCCTTTCCTTCTCTCGGGGGGGGTCCTACCAGTGCAAAAAAAAAAAAAATCCATCCTCCCGATGTGATCGCCGCTGGCTTGAGACGGAGCTCCACTGATAAACTAGATATTTCTTACAAACAATATGCAAAGCCAAAGCACCCACATGCTTTTCACCAAATGCCAACTCAGCCGAGTGTTAATAATTTCCCTGGTGGATTTCAATGTAGTAACACCTCTCTGCTGCGATTCAGAGTTAATTACAATCACTGAAGTTATTGCTTCAAAGCTGTGTTTAAAACTCCTCCTGTTATAAACAATGAAGCCTATGTTAACACACACAGACACACTAATCCTCAGCAAGTCGTGCAGTGCTGCCAGCTGTGGCCAGGACTTATTTTGCAACTAGATTTGATTACAAAATTATCATTTTTTTTCTCCATGCATCTGAATTTAATTTTCAAACTTTTTCCTACAATATGGCCATGTTCATGAGAGCATGATCACTAATGTCAAGCATGAAAAATGACATTTAGAATATAAGTAAATGTATCTGACATTTTTAGCATTTTTTACTGCGTTGCGATGACAGTATGTTGAATCTAATCTCCGAGGTCTGCAGCACTTGGCATAAAAAGTGTTGGCAATGAAGGCGTGCTGTTGCAGAACTTAGTAGGGCTGCACAATTAATCTAAATATTATCAAAAATCACAATACGGCCAAGTGTAATATGCACTTTTTGTGCAAAAGGTAGAATGTGTGAGAAGAGATGCATAATAAAAAGTACCATTGCCTACAAATCTCGTTCAAATTCAAATCGTGCTATTTTTGTGACATGCAATCACATCATTTAATTTACAACTTTAATCCCAAAACACAACGTAAAAACTTGAAGGACATAATGCTGTCACTCAAGATTGATTTTCCTATTCTGCACATGTGATCATTATCAACTCATCAGTGCTGCACTGAAAAACGACGTTCGCCTTAAAAACCAACGGCGTTCCTCAATCTCCTGACAACAGCACTTCTTCCAATTATTTTACATGTAAGTATGTGAGTATATTTACGCTGTCAAATGTAAATAGTTGGACACTGTGACCTCTAGGTGACAAAAAAATTGTGCGATACTGAGCGATAGTAAAAGCAGCAGCCACTGTGAACTGGTTAGATACAGTGCTGCAGGTAAGAGGAGCCGACACCAATTTAGGTGAACTCAAACCGACAACACGTCATCAAGGTAAGCAACACCTTTTATTGTGCCATTCCTGTTGTATGGAAAACCAGTGGCACTGTGCCCAGAGCACGGGCTCTGATCACAGTTTCTCATGTTATGGCAGGTATCCACACTGTATGGAACCGCCGCTGTCCCAGGGACGCACAAATAATGCCGTGCCACATTAACTAGAGCTGCAACCATTAGCCCATTATTAATCGATTAGTCAGTCAAAAGAAATTGAATCGCCAACTGTTCTGATAATGGAAAAAAAAATTAAAATGTGAAATTTACTGTTTTCATTATGGTGAGCTGAATGTTTTGTGGTTTTGGACTGTGGTCACACACACACACACACACACACACACACACACACACACACACACCAAGACACTGAGCTATAAAACTAACACAGCCCCGTTCACACCCTTGCTGTCCTCCCTCCAAGATGAACTGGAATTGTGAGGCTAACGTTATATCAGCTTCATCTCGAGAGGCTGGACTTTCCATCCGGGTTGGTGTGTTGTATCCCTCACCTCGCTAATCGCTTCAAAAACTACAAAACAAACACAAAAAGTTCCAGTGACCACGGCACCTTAAAGGGAGCAGGATCTGCAAAACGGTGTTAATTGTGCCCAAAGCATGATTAAAACACACCTATACTCTTGTAAGTGCTGCCACAGTTTAAACAACAACCCCATTACACATAACTAACATACCCATATCCACCACATGCTGGATCAGACTAGAATAACACACAAATAATAAAAAATGCAATTGTTAGTCTGTTTATTTTTAACCAAGTCCACTTTGATACATTGGATGTCAACTGATAATAATTAGCAAAAGACTAACCTGACAGGCAAAGAGACAAAATGCTGCAAGTTGTACCATGAAAAAAAGCCTAAATAAAATTACTTAAAATGTAATAGACTAACCTCTGACAACCTCATTAGCTCCATTCTTAATAGACAACCAAAAAAAACCAGACAATTATAACAGTACTGATCTGATACTTTGCGGCAAACAACTTAAAAAGAAACCATATAGTGTAATAGAGTATACATTATAACTTTACATCCACCGCTGCAGATGTCTGCCTCGAATTAACTCTGCTCAGCTGATTCAAGATTGATTATCTTAACTGCAGCCTAATAGTCTGATACAATCATCTGTGACTGTGGCCATTGATAACAACGGCCACAACCAATGGTGCAATCCAGTCCACAAACCCTGCAACAGAACTAGGCTACTCCTGCTCTCCGGCAGCCCAACACACCCATTCTCCTGGGATCATACTGATCTAAGAGAGGGCTGGAGAGAGAAGACAAGATTAAGGGAGGACGCCTTCTCTGCTCAGACCAGACCAGAGTTAATGCGATATCTGCAGCGTCTTTCATTCTGAAAGATATGTGGGATGGCAGAGAGCCACACAGGGTCTGTAAATGACTGATAAATCACCACCGTTTCTTCATATCTTTTAAAATCTCAACAAACGCTGAACTTTTAACAGAAATGTTGATATGGCGGATTATTAAATCGTATATATCTGGGCCCACAAAAAGAGTGCAGGTTGCGGTTTTTGGCTGAGAATAAACATTTAAAATAGAAGCAGAATATGTACGTTAAAACATATTCCTGCAACTCACTGTTTGCATTGAGATAAAAAAACTAACTGTAGTGAGCAGTAATAGTTGGTGTTCATTGAAGGCCAGAATAATGTGTCACATGCTCTATATTTTAATGTTAGACATCTGTAAGCTATGTATAACTCGGTTATACACTTTATATGTCCCAGGTCGGATAAATATCCTTTCTCTTCCTTTTATTTAACACAAATTGTACCCTGGGATTTGATAAAATACAAGCCTCATAAATACAATAATCAAACGATTAGCAATGTAATAATCAAGTCTGCCCTTGAGTAGCTTTGTTAGGAGTTTGCCCTCATTAATTAATCAATAAACATTCAAGTCAGACAGAAAAATAAGTAACTTCTGTCCAAGTTGACTGAAAGAAAATATATTAACTCTCATTTTAAGACAAACGCTCTTTAGAGTTAATGTTAACTATCCTAACTTACGCTTACAATACCAAAAAACGGTCATCGTTTAGAGTACGTGGTCACTGTTCGCCTGGTGAAGTTGAATTAAAGTCTGTAATCCCAGATTTACACAATCTGAATGACCACTCGAAATGAATCCAAATAATCCCAGGAGACGGAGAATATCTCGCTGCTTAATATGTGTTAACGTGCTACAACCTGAGGGGACAGTGAGTGACCTACACACACACACTTTAAAAAAAAACTACAAGACGACTTCTCTTTTTTTATATAATCAAACGATGAGCAACTCAGTATTTCCCAGCAGTGCAGAAACAAAGATTGTGTAATAACGATTCTGTCCTTGTGTAGCTTTGTTAGTAGTTTCTCCTCATTAATTAATCAATAAACATTCAAATCAGACAGAAAAATATACCACTAATATCAAAATATACCTTTACTTGCATTTTAAGCCTCTTTAAATAGTGTAAATGTTAACTACATTAACTTATACCTATGTTATTTAAACCTTTTAAAATGTGTTTCCACTTTAAGTTATCATTTGTTTCTTGTTAACCTGTATAAACATACATTTTACACTTGCTTTGGTTTCCCACTGTACAGTAACAAAGCCCCAGTCTTACTGTTTGTCGTGTTTACTTTCTACTAAACTTAATATTAGTATTTATTATTATATATTTAGGAGTATGCACCATTAAAGCAAAATAACAACTGACATGATAAAAGTCTTTACATGGGCCCTGTCAATGTGTCAAAACCCAGTTTCGTGCTTCAGCGTATCATATACCTAAATGAATCATTTTAATCCACTTTATATAAAATAAACACGCACATACTTTAATTAAACAAACCCACGTTTCCCCACACCAAATAAAAACCCCCTTTTTTTTAAAAAACACAAATAAATAACATGAACTTCTTTAAAAACAGAGATTACAAGCACACCTTCAGCTTTAACGTTATCACAGCTGGTGTATAGAAATGGTTGGAGGGCCTTTAGATTTATGGAGGCCAAGTTAGAGCACTTGCTAACACGTTAACCACACAGCGCGCAACACCTAACAGCCGTAAGACAACGCCAGCTAACACTCACATTTAACCAAGTTGTCCTGGCCTCAGTTTACACACACACGGGTAATATTGTTATTAACATATGTTGGCACACGTATAGCTATCTAACATGCAGGGTTAGGGTTAACTAGCTGCTCCGGAGGCTTTACGAGCTGTCAAACTTAGCTTCTAGCTAACTAGCACTGCTAGCGCGGGTTAGCTTCGGGGGAAAAAAATCGACACTTCAAAAAAAAAAAAAACGACAGAAATAAAGAAAGTGGCGCCGCGTTGCTTCAAGAAGCCGATCACACACACATGTTGGGCAGTAATGTGTTGTTCTGTCGGGTTGGTTTCTTACCGTGTGCCCTGTTTCTGTGTTTATTCAAAAGCTCTCTTTGTCTGAGGAAAATGGCTCTTAAGAGAAGTCAGGCTTACATCCCCGTCAGGGAGCGATCCTCGGTTACTGGACGGTAACATCCCGATTATTCACAGGACTAACTGAACCACCGGGGAAATAAACAACCAGTTAAATAGTTAAAATGATTTTCCTTTTTTTTTTTTTTAAATAAAAAATAAAAATAAAAATAAAAGAAGACGCTAAATCATTCTTTTGAGCGCCGCGTTGTTCATCGTGGTGGGGGTCTTTCGGTTTCCGTGCTGCCGTGGTCGCCGCCGCTGCTAGCAGCCAGTGTGACGGCGGGGTCCGCACGCAGAGAGCCGGAGAGGCGGACGGGTGAGTGACAGCGGATCCGGCCAATCAGAGAGCGGGCAGGAGGGGGGGAAGGGGGCGGGGCCGGGGAGAGCGGGGCATTTCCGACGTAGCACGCGGATAGGGAATGCGCCCGGCGCGTGATGGGCGTCTCGTGTCGCCAATGGATGAGGAGGAGGAGGAGGAGGAGGAAGGAGGAGGAGGAAGGAGCTGGAAACGTGGAGCGGTGAGGTGATGCTGGTTGGGGTTGTAAGTGGCAGCAGGTAGTGATGGAGGTTCCGATCACTTTTTATTGATTGTTATGATCCGGATTAATGTCTGGATTAGACTAAAAGGTGGCAATGCATAAGAATTAGCCTACAGTATGAATATCAGTCAATTACTGTGTCTTAATTTAAAGATAATCTGTAATTCACTTAATTAAAACTAAAAGCAATGAGCCTGTTTTTGGAAACTGTAAGGAGCAGAAAGTAGAAAAAAATGTGTGTAAAAAGGTGGTAAAAGTAAACAAATGTTAGAAAAATAAGTTTACTTTCTACTAATTTATTAGAAACATGTTTTTGGGAGGATGTCTATGCCCTTCAGATGGGGGCAACTACCTTAATATTAAAGTAACTTGATCACTTTCTGTTACTTTTGGACCGAATAGGGAAATAAAGAGAAACTGAATATCAATAAGAAGCAGGCTCAGGGAGTAACAGATTACATGTAATTGAGTTAAGTAATAAAGACCCGGTAATCCATTACAGTTACAGAAAATAAAATGTAATCAGATTACTGTAATATTTAGTAAAAATGAGGATTATTTAGCAGGATTACAATTTTTAAAATACTTGTTTTTCTTCATTTCTATTTTCTTCTTAAAGGTCACATTATGTTGTCTTATAGAATACACCTGGGTCAATACTTCGGATTGTGGAGGTAATCCAAAAGTAATCAGTAATAACAATAATCACATTACTTTCACTAAACGCCCACCACGCAGTCTATATAATGACATCATGCTAAATACTAAATGCATGTTGCATAGTTTTTGCATTGATATGAATGGGCAAAATAATGAATTGTCTATTTAATAGTTATTTATAACATGTTACACAAGTTTTTAGTGAATAAAATGAATTAAAAAACTATGTAAAACCACATTCCTGCCATAAATATCAGTGTACACACCCAGTAAAACAGGAGAAAGTCGTTTAGTTTGGTTTTCATTATGCCAGATTTTAGTGGGTTCTGCAGCCCCCTCAGCACTGCTGCTTCCAGCACTCGTACATCCTCCAAAACCCATTTTATCTCCAAGGCTGGATTACCAATTGTTCAAGACAGGAAACTGTTCTGAGGCTCTGAAACTCTCGGGGCCCCTGAGAGCATGAGGTGGCAACAAAAGTACACACATTCTTCATTCTGAGCAGTACAGACTGAACTTCTTTACTCAAGTAAAACGGAGAAGGCTCTGAAATGGACTGAAATAGAAATGTAAAGATATATTGGGAGAAAAATGTGAGATGAATAATAAGAAAAAAAGTTGGTGGTTAAAAGTTAAAGGTTGTCAAAAAACTAAATACTCAAGCACAGATACCTGAAAAAGCTACGTAAGTACAGTAAGTATCTGTAGTTTGTTAGTTCCCACCTCTGCTGAAAGCCCCATCTTACTGTTTACTTTCTACTAATTTAATCAACATGTATTTGGGAGTGTATGAACCACTAAAGCACCATGTTTGTGCCCTTCAGATGGGCCTTTGATGTGTCAAAATCTAGTGTTAAAATCCTCATTATCTCAGTTTTATACTCCAGTGTTTCATATTCCTAAATTAGTTTGTAATCAATCAAATTACCACACAGCAAACCTGAGCCCAGGAGATATTCCTGCACACATACTGGGACCCAGTAGCAAGTCTTTGCCCCTATAACAGGTTAATCTGATCGTGATCGTACCTGTAAACTTTCCCAGCACAGAACAAAATGTGCACAAAGTAAAAAAAATGCATTTATTTGTGGAAATGGATGGTTTAAAAGCCCCTAAATGAAATAAAGTCAACAACTCTTAAGGCAGCCACCCTCTTAAGGCCTCAAGTGCTGGAGAATGAGATGTGGCATCATGCAGCACAGACCAGTGAATATGTGTCATAGCTTGTACCAAAGTAAATCTTAGAACAATCAGAACGTCTCAAAGGAGCATTCATAGTCGCTCGCACCCACACATGAGGTCATCTCCTGGAGTCAGATCATTCACGAGCACGTGACACGAGGCGTAATGGGAAGTGGAAGTGGTGTGAGTAATGTAGTAGTTAGCTGGAGCTGGAGGTTGAGTTCAGGGGGAAATCACCAGCAGTCCGAACACATTAGCTTTTACATCTCCGAGACGCTGATCTAATTTGCGCTTACGAAAGGAAATGAAGGAGAATTGCATTAGCACCGATTCTTCTGCCAGGAGTGATTCACGCTGTTTTAGTCAACGTGGACGTCTTCTGGCGGGTCTATGCTGTGTCATCCGCGAGCAGTCCACAGTGAGGATGTGATAAGTTACTAATGAGCAGCGTGAACGAGTGGGATTGACAATGGTATTGATAATGAAATAGTAGATAACAGTAATGAAGAGCAAAATAAAAAAAAACACATTCCAGGATAAACAGGTGAGTTTTTAACGGTTTCTTAAAGCAGGGGTTCCCAACCTGAGGGTCGGGACCCCCACTAGGGGTCGCCAAAGCTTCACAGAGGGTCGCAGGGCCTTGTTGATTTTAAGAAAACTTAGATCTCAGTATTTGGTTCAAGTAAATTGTCTTAAATAACAACCACTAGAGACAAGAAGATGCTGAATTTGTAAAATAAAGAATCCTATTAAGTCTGTTTGATAGTTTAAAATGATAAAAAAATCCATAAAACCGACAGATGATTGTGTAAAAAGTTCCTCAAACAGGAAATAATCTGCTCAAAATTCATCCAAATCACTCATTTTAGTTCACTGTTTGAGTTCATTGTGCAGTTTTTTAATATAATATGAAATATGTCAGTTTTCTAAATGATAGAAAAGAGGTCCCTTGAGGAAACAGGCTGGGAACCGCTGTCTTAAAACTATCAACTGACTCTGTGTTTGTTTATAATTAGAGGAAGGCGTTTCCAGCGGGTGGGAAGCCACAACTGCAAAGACTCGGTCACCTTTGGTGCCAGAAGGAGGTCAGTAGATCTCACTGAGGTCAGAGGACACAGTGAAATATAAGGTGGAGCCAGACCATGAAAGAACTTCTACATTTGAGGGGTAACCAGTGTAGATCGACCGGTACCGGAGTGCATTATGTAATATAGTCTCACATCAGTTCTATTATAAATGAGAAACACCTGCCTGTTTATAATAAGGCTTTGTGCACAGTGAGATTACTTACACTCACTATTTGTGCGCGAGTGGAGCAGCAGGTGCAGTTTATACAACCGGGATCATTCTGAAAGTTTCAGCTGAGGCGTCAATCTCAAGAATATGATTAAGTTGTATAGTAAACTCTAATTTATTGCAGCGAGCTGCTCGTGTGACATCCAGATAAACTCAAACAAATCATAAGTGCTGACAGATAATGCTTGGGCATGGGCAGTCGCTCAGTACAGAAATAGATTTGGATACAGATCAGTTGTGATAGACGCAGACGCTTGATAGGATGTTAGTGTCTAAGAAAGGTGCATGAGGATGATTTTGTGCTCTGTGCAGGTCGTATTGCATCTTATTTTTCCTTTTTGAGTTGAATCTTCACATATTTTTATTGCCATTTAACTGTCTCACCATGTATATCTTTTTATATTCCTACAGTAAATGTTTTGGTGGTCTGGTGTCAAAAGAAATGATGAGACATAAACAGTTAATCACATTATGTTGGACTACAGTTGGATGAAGATATCGTTTGGTCTCTCTTTACAGTCCGCTGAAACTGAGGGTATAAAATAACTAAATAACTGACGGCTTATTTAACCATTTTAACTTTTCTTTTTCATTCCAATGACTGTAGGACTGGCTCATATTAAGTTTTATCCTGCACTCAACAAAAAAGAAATGAACACAACAGTCTGCATCAATCTTTTGAGGTTAGGGGAATTAGCTTTTCCTCTACAATCAAAGGTATTTTTAATTACCCCTTACTTAATAATTGGTAGCACAATCAAACAGTTTTGAGTTAAGCTTCTATAAAACTTACCACATTTCCACATTGTGTCAACATAACTTCTTGACCTGAATCAGTAAATTACAAGTTTTATCTTACAACCATGCATTAATTTAAGTGACAATAGGTTTTATAGCTTTTATCTTGTGTTGTAACTCATTTTATTGCTCTGTTTGGATATTAAATTACTACTAAATTAAGGATAAATCTTATGGCAATAATATTGGTGATATTATTCAAGTTACAGTAAAAAAAACAATATCTTACAGACTATAAAGAAAGACTGTTTAAAATAGAAAATGCACACAGACTGTTAAAAAATCTGAGTTTCAAAATGAGTTCTGTTTTGAATATATTGTATGAATCTGGATGTACAGTATCTAGAAGTTGTTCATGTTGTGACAATGCAAGGGCGCCATCTTGTGGCAGCAAGGCAGAGATGTTAAAATGTTTACTGATTGCTGGTTGTGCAGAACTTCAAGGTGATGTTTAGGACTCAGTTTAAGGCTTTATCCAAAATTATTGTTTGTGAAATAAAGAATACCATAATACAATCCACAGGTGATTTCATTATTTGTTAATAAGTTAATTAACTGTATTTCCCTGGTTGGATCTATTTGTATTTTTGTTTGCTGCAACACAATCAACCTTTATCTCTACATAGTGTAATGTAAAATAAATAAAAAACACTATTACTATAAGGTACATAGGCTCTTATTATATTTCTATTTCCATTTTTATTTATTTATTTACTTTTACTTGTATGTATATACCTACATATACAGGTCTATTCTATATATTGTGTTAGATATTGTAATATAAGTACTATTTCTATTATTTAACATTCTGCAAGCACCTTGAACAGGTGTAGCAAACAAAATTCCCTCCAGGGATCAGTAAAGTCTTTCTGATTCTGATACGTGGGGTGAAATTGTGGAATGAGCAAAGCACAAATATGACTCAGTTCAAGAAGTTATATAAAATAAATTATTTTCCAGAGGTATAAGATAGAGGAAGGGCTGTGATCATGGTTCATTTGTAATTGACACACATAATTTAATTGACAAGAAGCAGAGAAGTTGTAGGAATAAATGAGTGTGTATATTTCCTCTAAGTCCTTTTTGAACATGTAATATTTAATTGTGTTGTTTATGAGGATTTATTCATTGTTAATTTCATTTTAATGTTATTTTGTCCTTTTTTGTTTAAAATAAATGAACAAACAAGATCTAAACATTGGTTGATTGCACCAGTAATATATGTTGCCACCTATAGAAATATGTTATATGTTGTATGTTTATAACAGTCATGAAAACATAATAGGTTTTTACTTTAATTTCATTTTTACATTATTTAAACTTTTCTTTTTGGTTGATTCTGTTGTTTTTTAGTCATACTGGTGCTTATACAGAGTATTGTTGTTCAATATATAATTGAGTTGGTTGTTGTTGTTGTGTGTGTTGCTATCTGGAAAAAAATGAGGGCCTTTTGCAAGTATATCTGTGCTTTTAAAAGTGTGTGAAAAACTAGTCATGAAGTCCAAGGAAGTGTTTGTAGAATTGGCAAACACAATTCCATGATGGAAGCAGACCGAGGAAGAGGGGAAATTTAGTAAGTATAAGAACGTGTTAGCTTCCAACATTAACAAAAGAGAAACAAAATGTGGAATTAACTCTCTTCCAACTGAAGTGATCAGCTGGATATATCAGTAGACCGAAAAACCGCAGAGCTCCGTGACTGCGGTGGGAAATCACAGCCCGTACAGCAACTCGTGAGTTTGTGTAGCGGGCCAGAGGGAAGTCACTGGAGGAAAGGTGCATGTAAACAACCTGGAGCTCGGAAAAAAATAATTTAATTTGTCTTGAGGGCAGTCACAGTTAATAACATGCAAACAATATGCCATAATGACAGCATCAATGCATTGAACACTCTCTCCCACTAGAAGTTCCTTTCAATAAGCAAGTACATGCATGGAGACTTTATTGAGTTTACTGCATCATTAGTCATGGCAGCATTGTGACAGTCAGCACATCAGTCCATAATGCTGTCCACACAGTCTCAGTGCAGCATCCCTGGATTTGAGGAAGTGCTTTTAAAACAGCGAACTCATTGAGATTGGTTTACTTTTTACAGTCAAGTACGTGTTGAGAAGTTCTCTGTGATGAAAGTACTGTAAGTGAACCCCCGACGTGATGTGGGTAGATACCAGCTTCTCTTTGAAGCACAAGACCGTCAGCAGGGTGAGGTTTGATCTCGTGTTGAATGGGATGCATAATTTAAATTTGATGCACTGACTTTAACTACCTGAGGGTGAAGAATGAAAAAACAAGTAGCATCCAGTGACATTAAAGGTTCAGTGTGCAGGATTTAGTGGCGTCTAGCTGTGTGGTTGCAGATCAGTTCCTTTATTCAGGTGATTATAATGTTCACAGAGGGGGTTGGAGTCTGCTTGGAGGTCGCCAGGTGGTACAAGGAGAAGATAAAAGGGAAAATACAAGAAAAAAAGAATTATAACCCAATTATATATTGTGTATAATTATGTATTATAATAAAATATATGCAAATATATTGCGATTATTTTGATTTACGTTTTCATTTGTTGTGGTCTGTGGCTCAGGAGGTAGAGCGGGTCGTCCACTAATCGGTTGGTGGTTCGATTATTTAAAAAACACATGTACACATATTAAAAATCAACACACATTTTAATGACCTCTTATGGCCAAGTGATTTAAGTTCAGTGAGTAAATGAAAAAAAAGTCTAACAATTTGGAAATAAAACAATTTTTTGATTTCTGATGCCACTTTTAGATATTTATATTGACAATTCACATTCATATAATATTCTTTTAGTGAAAATATCTTTAAATCAGTATATATTTCTGCCACCCATTAAAGTCTGCATGCCACCCTCTGGCCACCCCAATGCTAAAAGCTCTGACATTTGACATTTATCAAACAATTGCAGCTTCTGCAATTTGGTTATTGCATTTAGCTTTACTGCAATTTTGGTAATACTTTGATTAATTGTGCAACCCTAATTGATATTAAAAAAATCGAATTCATGACATTCTGACATGAAGTCACAGACTTATAGGGTTATAGTGTGTGCTTGAATGGTAGAGGTAAGCATCGAATACTTTTTGCAGCCTTAATCAGTTAAAAGGGTGATAAATGAGGATTATACAATTCTTGGAGGCCTCATTAAAGTGTCTGTGGACACACTTAATTCACTCATAGTTGCTGAGAAGTCAGAGGCATCAACTTTCAAAGAAAAAAATACGTAACTGATGCACAAATAAGAAACTTCTTTGAAAATGAGTAAATTAATCTTATCCTCAACACGCGAATAAAGTGTAACAAAGAGTGTGACCTGGTGTGTGGACAATGGAGTAATGGATTACAGTTGACTGACAGGAAGGTCTTTGTTCAGCTCCGCATCATAGAAACTGCGTGTGAGTGTTTCACCACATTTTCCAGTGTGGTGCGTGTTACTTACGTGCTTCATTCTAATTGCTAACACATAAAATGTTGAGCTGACATATTAAAATATTCTCTGCCACGACTTAGAGAAAACTCAGGTGACAGAAAAGAGAGAAAACTCATGAACTCAGTGGTGAACTCGGTTAGCATTCCTATGAAAAGCCCTTTGAAAGCACTGTCATGTATATAATATCCCCAATGCATCTAGTGAGGATTCCCTTTCACTTTAAAGCAGCTATAATCCTTATTCTTATATCAACACTGTATCAAACACCAATGTGAAAACAATATGAAAGGGCTCACCGGTTACAGTGATGAACTTACAGAGAATTATCACCAGAATCTGCAGCTCCCCTCTTCTTTACGGAGCTTTATAGTGAGATTTAGATTCAGCTGTCTGGCCCCCAAATTTACTGTACTGCACTCTCACTGCTCTCAGAGTCCTTCTCAGTCCCAGCTGGCAGCTGCTTAGCACCAAACAGCAGACAGACACCGTTAGAGACTAGCTGTGGAGCATTTGGCAGCTACGGAGACAGATATTTCCCTCAAGTTATCCACACATGATCAGAGCTGGCTGTGCCATTGTTTTCCTATGTTGAGAGCAGTGGTGCCCAACTAGTTCAAATTATTACTATTATAAGTGACACATGCAAGCAGGGTGCCAACACAGAAAAGCCAGGGGGAAGCTCCCCTATAGTTGGTACAACTTAATAAGAGATGAGCTCCCCTGAACATATGATTTGTGAAATGTTGGGGGGTTCTCTAATATATTGACAACATGCTATTTTTGCCAGGCATTTCTATTTTTCTGTATCTAAATCATCATGGATCAGGTGTAAAACCAGGCTATTAAACAGTGACTGATCACTAATTCACTTTAATAAAGATACCAGCATGCATGCTAACCTTGCTATCACCGAGCATGGTGGCAAAAATGTCATAAACTCACTTTAACTCCAGAAAAAAAACTAACTTTGTTAGTCCCACTCAACCTGTGCTCTGTTATTTATTTCTCTAGGTTTATTTTAAATTTGATTTAATCTTACCTTTATTTTTTACCAAGAATTCCCACTGAAATCAAACATCTCTTTTACAAGAAAGATAGAAGCCGTAAAAAATCATATTAACGTAAAATACAACATACACAATATAAAAGAAAATTGATCGTACATCAATCATCAGTCTGCCTGCAACTGTTGTTACCTGGAAACATGGTAAACCGCTCCCTTGCTCACTTTCTGATGGCGAATAAATGCACTGCAACTGTCTGCACTACGCTCTGTGCCCCACCTCACGATGAGAGGAGAGCACATTTATTATCACCAGTTGGCGGCTTCAGGAGCTGGTGGAGAGCACAGAGCATACAGAGAGTAAATATTGAGCTTACACTCACCGGTGGAGCTGCTCAGTGACAACAGATTAGACTGAGGTCACACTGGGCGGCTTCCAGGTATGAATGTGTGTGTAACTGTGTGAGTGGAAACATTTCTTGCACAGCTAAAAGACAATCCTATAGAGTTTATTTTCTGAAGAACAAGCTGTATGTCACCCAGAAATGTTCTCTTAAATCAGCAGTTCCCAACCTTTTTCCTTAGGGGCCCCCTTTTCTATCATTTAGTAAACTAAGTGACATATTCTGTGGATATTTCATTTTATTTTAAATGCATAACAATAACAGCACAGAACAACTGATAAACTGTAAACAGTGATCACAATAACTGCAGGAAGTTTGTGTAAAAGAAGCAATTTGGATGAATTTTGAGCAGAGTTTTCCTGAGTTTAAATAACTTTTTACACAATTCTTTGTCTGTATTTGTTTTCTCCACAGAAAAGCTAAGATATAGGCCTCCTATGTATATTTTTAAGAAGCCCTTTAGCGAGGGGGGGGTCTAAAACATTAAAACTCTGAGATGGGGTGTGTGTGTGTGTGTGTGTGTGTGTGTGTGTGTGTGTGTGTGTGTCTGTGTGTGTCTGTGTGTGCTTTTATATCAAATGATTTAGGACCATGTCTCACAACACAACACCAGCTCATCTAAGAAGCAATGAAGGATACAGAGCACAATAAAGAACCCAACAGACACATATTATTGAGACAAGGCGAGAGATGCTATCACCACATATGGAAATAAGAAACCAGAAGAAGAAGATGAAGCTGGGGCTGCAGAGGAGTCTGAAACTTGACTGTCTTTATTGGATGTTATTGATAATGATTGGTCACACAAAGGCTTTGAATGTGTGTGTGTGTGTGTGTGTGTGTGTGTGTGTGTGTGTGTGTGTGTGTGTGTGTGTGTGTGTGTGTGTGTGTCATCTTGTCAAAATGTGACACTTGTGAAAAAGGTCAGGTCAGCGTATTTCCAGTGCCTACGGTCTGGTCATATGGGATGTTAGCAGATTCTTCTCGAGTCACATGTGTCGTCATCTGGTTCAGTGTGACGCGCTGACAGACAATGCTGTAACGAGGCGATGACGTTAACGGTTTAATTGAGACTAATGTAAATTATGTTATATATATATATATATATATGTATATATATATATATATATACACCTCTCAATATAATGTGATACAGAAGCATAAATTACATGCTTTATAAAGTCAATAATAGCAATTATAACCTTGATTATTAAGTTTAAAATAGTGTTCATGGGCCTATTCCTGGGCTACTGCAGTAGAGTTTTTGTACCATGGTTGGCAGTGGGTGGATCTAGAGAAATATTCATGAGGTGGCATGTAAATATTTGCTTGGAAAAGCTCCTAAATGAAGATATTTTAACTAAAAAACATTCAATTATTGCTGCACATCAGTAAAGCATTGAATATAAATATCTAAAGGACATTAGAAATCGATAAATTGTTTTATATCCAAATCTTTTCTCCAGACATTTTCTCCACGTACATGTGTTTCTTCATTGAACTTAAGCCTCACTTAGTCTAAAATGCCATAACAGGTATATTGTACATTACTGACAGGATTCATGTTCTTCAGCTTGTGTGCAAAAACTGTGAAACAGTTCTGAGTAAATGAGCAATTAGCAGCTGAACAGTCAGTGAGATCACGCGGAATTAGAAGTGTGTTTTCAAGGTGACACATGCTCCAAGCTGACATGTGATTTGACGAAGATGAACTTTTATTCACTTCTACCAATCCCTAATGGGGAAATTAATATCACACACACATATTTACACACACACACACACACACACACACACACACACACACACACACACACACACACACACACACACACACAGGGCTTTTAGACATGTAAATGTGGAGAGATGGCGGAGTAGCGGCTCCTCAGGAGCAGTTAGGGGTTCATTGCTCAAGGGCACCTCGGCAGTGACCAGGAGCAGGAGTGGATGGCAGAGTTTGAGTTTTTGCTCTAAGGTTGTGGAAGGCTGCAGAGGGAAGAGAGAGTTTTTCCACCCTCAAATTTGAATCTCCAGTCATGGTCCTTCCTTGGCGACCTTAGCTCGGATCATAGGACCCTTGATTATTCACCCTGATGTCACAGGGCCAGTTGGTGCTTGGCATCAGTTGTGAGATCATTCGAAATTGATTTGCATGTTGATCAGATGCCTCTGTTGGGAAATTGTAGGGTTACTGTAATCATCCCAGATCTGTGTCTGAGGTTAACTACAGTGTTATAAAACAAATATAACTTACAACAAGCTGAATTCATGCAACCGTCACAAGTGAGCACAAGATGAATGAGGGATGCTTTTGTAATCTTCACACATGACCTTAAGAGAAAAGTGCGCAATGAGGCTGGGCAGGGCTGGGTACGAGCACCGGTTCGGCCCTCACTCACTCTCTCCATATTACCCGGAATCCTGCTTTCGGCAACTGGAAATCGAGGAATTATCCACAGGTCATTTAATCATGTAAACTCGTGCATGCTTGACGAGGCACGGCATCGCCCGAGGGCCTCTCATCGGCTTTTAAAAACCAACAGGATTCCCCCTGCAGAGACCACTGACCGAACTGCTCACCACGGGGGCCAAACTCAAGTGTATCCTGCAGCTTCTTTCATCCAAAGCAAACCAAGAGCCAGAATGGAGTTTCACTACGCCAAAGAGATGAACGGAACCGTGCCCACGGTCACTAAGCTGAGCAAGTGCATTGAGTCTAAACACAGCGATTCGTGCAAAGAGGAGAAAGACTTAAAGGAAGCCGCAGATTCGACCAAGTTGTTTTGCATAGAGAAAGCTTATAGTACCATCCTGAGCGAGCTTGGAGAGAACACCGAACGAGAGGGGCTTTTACGCACACCGTTACGCGCAGCCAAAGCCATGCAGTTCTTCACAAAAGGCTACAAGGAGACGACCCAAGGTGAGTACGCACCCAGGATGAACATTTTACACGAAAAATGCAGTAGTGGCAAACAGTTTTACCAGTGTTAATTCTGTAAATCTTTACATTTATTGAGGGCTTAGTGTCCTTGTTTATTGCTTTCCAAGAGGACTCATTTGTCACTTTTGATTCTGATCATCATTTCCGACAGTAAGAAGGAATGTGTAACTGGTATTTCATCTCCACAGCGATCTTGAACGATGCAATCTTTAATGAAAACCACGATGAGATGGTGATTGTCAAGGACATCGATTTGTTCTCTCTTTGTGAACATCATCTGGTGCCATTCTTTGGAAAGGTAACTTACATACAGAGATATTCAGAGTCCTGAAAGAGTAATTATTCTTTATGCTATTCTCTTTTTTCTTACTGTATGCTTTGTTTCATTGTGTCAGGCTCACATTGCATACCTTCCAAACAAGAAAGTGGTTGGTCTGAGCAAGCTTGCCAGGTAACTAATTGGAAATAGACACACACACATACACACCAGAAAAAACAAAACCCTTCACTTTATTGTTTTCTGCTCTTCCAGAATTGTTGAGATCTTCAGCAGGAGGCTCCAAGGTAAAATATGTCTGATTGGAATCTTTAATTTCCTCAGTATTTTCCTGTGTTACACTCAGTGTGTTTATTTTTCCCTCCACAGTTCAGGAGCGTCTAACCAAACAGATAGCGACAGCCATCAGCGAGGCGTTGGAGCCCGCAGGAGTGGCAGTGGTGATTGAAGCTGTGTGAGTGTTTGCTCTGTTTGTAATGTATTTGCAACATATTTATAAAATGCACAGTTAAAAAATGCCTCACAAACAAACATATATATGCATAGACATGCACAAAAACACATAAATACTAACTTATGGATGAATAAAACAAGAGGAAAAGGATTTAAGAAAGGGAAGGAGAACTAGCTGCAGAAAACAGTCCAAAGATTCAGCAAATCTGGTTGCTTGGGGAAGATGTTTCCAGAGGACACTTTAGTTTTACAGTTGGAGCATGGGATGGATAAAAGGCCAAGATTTGAGGAGAGGAGCAGTCGAGGAATAGAATGAGGAACAAGGAGATCTGAGAAACTGAAGTCATGAAGTGTTTTATATGTAATCAGCAGGGTGTTGTAGTTGATTCGGAATTTTACAGGAAGCCAATGGAGGGATGTGAGAACAGGGGCTAATGTGGGACTAACTGTAAATGATTTAAGGAAGCTTGACTGAGGCACGTGTAGAGGGAGAAGACAGTATTCTAGACGGGAGAAAATGAACGTGTGAATTAGTTGTTTGAGTTCTGTCTCATCTCACAGTTGGAGATGTGTGTGGTGGGTTTCTATAACTTTGGTTTTATGATACTGTATATGACAATTGAGATATAAACCTCCTGAATACGAGAGGAACTCTACAGTCTCTGATACACAGTTTTGCATAAATGCTGCAGCACAAAGTTCTTCCGTGGAAATCATGTGCTTTGGACCTTTTCACTCTAAGTTAAACTGTCTCTTTGAATTTCAGTCACATGTGCATGGTGATGAGAGGTGTGCAGAAGATGAACGCCAAGACTGTAACAAGTGTCATGCTGGGAACGTTCCAAAACGATCACAGGACCCGGGAGGAGTTTCTTTCTCTGACACTGGGGGAATGAGAAGTTTTGATCTCGGCAGGCAGTTCTACAGAGGGAAATGTCCACCAACACCTTTGGATCTTCCTGTGTGTATCAGTTAGTTTTTTTTTGCTGTTTCATCTGTTTTCATTTGGAGATGGTTCAGCTGATATCTATCTATCTATCTATCTATCTATCTATCTATCTATCTATCTATCTATCTATCTATCTATATATATATATATATATATATATATATATATACAAGGAATTAATCTAAAGAAGCCGTGGAGTAGTAATGCTCCAGGTACATTTCACAATGTAAATGTAAAGATTTTAAATCTTATTGATTGAAAGACATATTTATTTCAGAATGTCTTATTGGGTGCTAAAATACACTTTACAAACAACATAATCCTGTACTGTGTGCTATATGGTGCTATATGGTGCTATATGATGTTATATGGTGCTATATGATGATATATGTTATATGATGTTATATGATGTTATATGGTGCTATATGATGATATATGTTATATGATGCTATATGATGCTATATGATGTTATATGATGTTATATGGTGTTATATGATGCTATATGATGCTATTTGATGCTATATGTTATATGGTGCTATATGATGCTATATGTTATATGATGCTATATGATGCTTTATGATGCTATATGTTATATGATGTTATATGATGCTTTATGATGCTATCTGATGCTATATGTTATATGATGCTATATGATGCTATATGTTATATGATGCTATATGTTATATGATGCTATATGATGCTTTATGATGCTTTATGATGCTATATGTTATATGATGCTATATGATGCTTTATGATGCTTTATGATGCTATATGTTATATGGTACTATATGATGCTATGTCTTTTGATACAGCACTGTGAGATATTTATTTACCTGTACAGTCAAAATGTACAAATCAATAAAACTGATACTTTTGCTGCCTTTAACTTTGTTTTCTGGTAAGTCTTTTAGGGTTGGTGGGTTTAAATTACTCCACCAGAACAGTCCTACGTATTTAAGAACATAGTGCACCAAAAGGGAGTTTTTGACTCATCTGACATAATAATAATAATAATAATAATAATAATAATAATAATAATAATAATAAGCAACATGATAGACAAAAAGTAATTAAATATAAAAATAATGAATACCAAAATAAAATAATAAAAGCAGAATAGAAGCCATAAAATAAAAATTTGAGAATAAAAATAAACTAAATAAATACTCACATTCACCTGCAGTCACCAGTTAACCTATCAGTGTTTCCCAACCTGGGGGTAGGGACCCCAACTACTGGGCGCCAACGCTTCACAGGAGGTCATGATTGGTTTTAAAGGGTGTAATAAAACATAAATATTATACACTGTAGGCCTATATCTCAGCATTTCAATCATTTCTGAAAACTAAATGAAATATTAATTTGTACTCTGATAAACAGCCTCGTCCAAGTTCAAACAACCAAAGAACTAACAGCACAATGACTAATCAGGGAGAAAAAACACTGAAATTGTCAAAAAAAACAACAACTATTAAATAATTAAAAATACAAAACGAGAGAAGATTGTAAAAAAAGTTCTAAATATCCATAAAAGTCACGTAGTCAGGGGTTGTCAGTTTACACAAAGATAGAAAAAGGGTACCTGCATTGGATAACACATGAATACTAATAGTATAAGAGTGAAAATGTACTTAGAAGTGGCCTTTTAATGATGCATTGACCTTATGAATGGGCCTAAATATACATTTTTGAGATGCTTCACTGACTAAATCCCTAATAGCAACAGCGAGTGTCCAATGGCTGAAGTACCTCTCAGATGGGAAACTATACAAATGTGAAGTAGAGTAAAAGGCCATGTTAAAGTGCCCTCTAACAACCCAGTAAAAAGCAGAAAGGTGAGGGATAGTCTGTGTAAAAAAGGTGGTCAGCGAGTGGCGCTCACGCTCCAGAGATCAACACAACTCATCCGTGTACAGGCAGAAAGTGGAAATGACTCCAATGTCACCAACTTCAAGAGAAAAAGCAAACTTTCTAAACAAAGAATATCAAAGCAACCACAAACGAACATGAAGGAACTGTGCCTCAGAGTTGGATTCTGTTGTTTTTCACATCGACCCAGTGACCTATAATGAACGCCCTTCGTTCTGGGAATAAACACTTTTCCGACGCTCTCCAAGTAGAAACCCTCCAAGCCGGCTTATTAACACAGTAAACACATTTATTGAGAAGAGAGAAGCATCAATGGGAGAATGCATCGGTGGCTGCAGCACTTATAGGTCCTGGATCCTGAGGGTGGACCTTCACACACACACAAACGCAAGCAAGCAAAACTGTCCGAGAGAGAAGGCGGTTCACCCTGCAGTCCACTCAGAAAGAAAGTTTATACAATGCAGGCTGGGACAGAGAGGAGCACCGTTTACATTAAAGCTTTAATCAATCATCATATCTGATTCTGAACAGAAAAGTTAACTTAAAGTCATTTAGCAAGAGTTGGCACCTTTGATTAAAAATGGTAGAAAAAGCTGCGTAAAAACAAGAAGAGCTGATATTTTTGGATGTTTGGTTGCAAGAAAAAGCCTCAAGTTATCACCCACAGTATTAAAGACATGTAGGCCTGAAACATTTTTGCATATTGTTGTCTCGGGTGGGGCTCATAAATATTTGAACTATTCTCTAAATCCTCGTAAACTTCACATATTATCTCAATTTCTATCTTATGGGATAACCTGTTACTACAGGATTGGTACGTGGTTGTAATGTTGTTTCCATATATTATATAAAACCCTTCACAGCTGTCATGTGAGGACATCTTAACTCATATATAATATGGTGTTTATTTTAAACTACTGAAGGATTGACTTCTACAGGTTGCAGCAGCTATCCGTAAATCCATCTCTAAGTTTGTGTGTAAAGTTCTTAGTAACTGCTCGCTAGTTTAAAGCTGCAGTAGGTCATTTTTATGAAAAAACTTTCACAATATCCTGACAGTAGAACATGAGACAGATAATCTGTGAAAACATCTGGTTCCTCTGACTCTAATGGCATTTACAAGGGCTGTAACAAAACTGCCAAAAATATTTTTAGGGGGGCAAGTGATATATTAAACTTAAGTGCTGATACTTTCTAAAGGCAGGTTTTACTTTGATTTATTCATATATGCAAAAAGGGACAGAAACAGTAGTATTCATACGATTTAGAATGACTGGCAAATATATATAGGTTTATTGTTTTATTTCTGTTTAAATCTTCCCAGTTTACATAATTATTAAACATAATACTGAAGTGTCAGGTCAGATAGATACCCGTTTTACTTTAAATGAGACACATCTTTGTAAGCTAACTTTATCTTTGTGTAGTTTCTCTGGCTCAACCCATTTTAATTTAGCGATGTGTAAATTTCCACTTTACAAACAATAAACTAGGCCAAGTTTGAATTTATGAACAGCTGGTGCCAACCATCCCCAAATATAAAGATGGAAGATGACAGCTCCCCAAAAGTGAAGCCAAAACATCTGGATCGCCTCCTGGTGGCTGACTGCAGGATAGGTCATAAAACCTGCTGCCTCTATGTGAGCTAAATATACTTAAATACATTCTTCCCAAAGATGGTTTCTGTCATTTTAGGTAGTTCTTATCACGCTGATGTTTGTTCAAGTGGTTCTTTTTCTGACAAGTTTGGTTTAAATTTGTTTTTTTAAGCTACAAAAAGCGGGTTTCACATCATGATTGACAGTTGAGCCCAACCCCGATCACTACTGCACAGACTCTGGCTCCGAATAACGTCACCAGGATATTTTGGCTTCATTTTTTGTACAGAGGGAGGAAGTCTTTTATACGTCGATGGTGCCAACGGCTGCAACCCTTTCTTGTACCATTTCAATCGATCATGAAAGCTGATATTTGCAAGTATTTTTAAAGACTTAACGGACTGTGATTGTGCAGCTAAAATGATGTGCTTTGCTCATACGTGTGCCTGATGGAACAGTGTGCTTCAATCAGCCTTTTCTGGGAGAGAGACAGCGTTTAAAAGCGGAGGAATGTGCTTTGTTGTGCCGGGAAATGAAGCGGCGCTGACTGTGCTTCATGTTGTGCATTAGATGTACAGTTGTGGGTCACCTTAGCCAGCTGATTCTGATGAAAGTGTGCATTCGATTCTTTGGACGTTGGATATATGAAATTCATTTCTAAAATGAGATCCCTCCTCTTCTCTCTCAAAAACCTTCTTAAGGTGATAAAAGGATTACACGTTATTGCAGGATAACAAAATTAAAACGAAAAAAGAAAGCTATCGGTTGATAAAATGTTTGCACAGACTAGATCATCTCTATTTTAGAGATATAGAATCATAAACTCTGGATAATATATATTTTAAAAATGGATAATAGACCTCTTCAGTTCCTGATGAAGACCTCAGCCTCAGTCCTAACTTACAGTATGTTTTGGCATGCCACACTATAAAATAATGGGGTTTTCATAAGGCAAAAAACATGACCTTCAAACTTTAAAATAATACAGTTCCAGGTCCAAAATGTGTCCACTGAACAGCATTTCACTCATTTGTGTTCACCCCACACAACGCACAGCACCTTGTGTGGTTGGATTTGCAGGTCAAACAATTGGAGACAGACTTTGTGGGCCAACAGAGTCTTGAAATAAAAAACAAAACCTGTGTATCGTGGCCACTGTCACAGTGTCACTTAAGTCAGCCTCTCATTCTTAAACATCTCTCCTGATCTGCTCTTCTATCGAGAACATCACAAATCAATAATGTAGCTTCCAAAACCACAGAAATAATATGAACTTCCTAAAATGTAGCATTTCTCTTAAAACTGCAATGTCGTATTTTTTTGTATGACAGCGTACAACAATTTTGTACAGGAACAATGATTAAAAATGGTTATAAAAGAAGGTACTTTTGAGGCAAAAAGTCTTTTTGACGAAGAGACTGACTTGGGTTTTGTGCTCCTTTGGTAGTAAACTGCATCCTCAACTCGAGTTGGACAGCAGGAGAGAGTTATGGCCTGTCAAGAGCCCTGCAGCTTAAAAGTAGCTCTTATTTTGTCCTTTTCAGTCCTCTCTTTTGTGCAATTTTCTTTTGCCTTCAGTCCAGGTTTGGTTTATGGTTTGCTGCTGAATGATCCGCGGGTTTATGTATCACGTGATCAGACAGCAGTTGATGCAGCGAGGTCTCAGTCTTCTCTTCAGAGCTCCCTTTTTCTTCTTGGGAGCCAGGATTGCAATGATGGCCTCGTCGAACACCGTCTTCAGGCCCTTCTGGGTCAAAGCTGAACACTCCACATAGCAACATGCACCAATCTGACGAGAGAAAAGGAAACACACGGACCATCAGTAAAGAACTTCCAGTACAATATGATGGTGTAGTAGCAGTTACTATAGTGAGATTGTAGACATGCTCTCTTAATATCACTTTCAGAACGTCATCGAATTGGCACCGTAGTATCGGTTCTCGTGATATCCCTACTCTCAATCCATTATTTTCGGGGGTGGGAGGGACATATGCTTCTGTTTTAATAATAAAATGATTTAATAGAGCTGTAAGTCAGGAAGTCAGAACTCCCACGTCTTCTCAACTTCAGCTGTCCAGCCTGACGGCTGCAGGGCTTTCTTTGACTCGGATGCTGTAGGTTTTTCCATGTTTTATGTTGTTTTTAGTGTTAATTGTGTTGTTTAGCCTGCTGAACTTAGCTATTACTTGTCCAACCAACAGAGTCCAGAACATAAAACCCCCTGTAAAATGTGACTGAATAGTGTTTTCTTCTCTGATTTCTTCAGGATGGCATATATAACAGTCAAAATGACTTTACATTATGTATAGTTTGTTCAGATGACATTACTGGGTGACATTTTTTAAAGATCCCCTCCAGTCAAACAGTCTTCTGATGCATTTCTTTGCGCAAAAAAGTTATAATTTCCACATTAAATTACTTAAAAAGGCTTCAAGTTTTTACATCACACTTGTTATAAGTTGCATCCTGGACCAGGATTGACTCCCATTACTGCAAATCATGCTCACTGAAATCATATTTTCACGAGTGCCATGAGCACAGAGAAACGTTTCACTTTCAGCAGACTGACTGAGTCTTAATGCTATGATTGTATGTGACCAGCAGTGTAATTATATATCATTTGCTTTGGCTTTGGTTGATATTATGGGGTAACTTTAGCTGCTAATGGTGAGTAGTGAGCAGAGCTAATATGGGGAGGATCATTGTTTTTATGGAGTCGACTCAACCGCAGAAAAACAATCCGCTGTGTAACATGTTGTACAAGAAATACCTCAACACAAAAAGACCTTTCAGACATGCACCTCGTTATAGAAGTGTGATGGTAATTTTACATGTTAATCTTGTGTCTAAATTGTAAATCGTCATGTCTCTGTAAAGACATTTACAGACACCTCTGACTGACTGACATGGTCTTTGACTAACTGGCAGCTAAATATACCTTTAATGTCTGAGTAGGAGTTGGCTTTCCGAGCAGGAACGCTCTGCTGTCGGTTGTAGTTTTAACTGATTAGACTGACCAACATAGATTTTATCTGTCCTCTCTCATGTCACAGAGCTAACCACTTTAAATACCCAGCCCAGCTATCTATGAAAAATCTTTCTTGTCACTGTGTGCTACCACCACCAGCCGGATAGCTTAGCTTAGCATAGGACTGAAAACAGGGGAACGTTTTCTTGGCCTTGACTTTCTGGGTGAGAAATTGTCCAGCAGTCATTCTTACACTTCGGTTTTGGTACGGATTAAACAGATGTTCATTAGTGAGCTTTAGAGGAGCTGGTAGGCAGATTGTGTTACCTTTGGAGTCAGACCAGCTGTTTCCAGCCTTTTGCTAAGCTAAGCTAACTGGCTGCTGGCTATATAGTAGCTCATATTTAGCATCCAGATATGACAGTGGTAACGATCTTTTCATCGAAATCTCAGCAAGAAAGCGAGAAAACTGATTTCCTAAATGTTTCTATCATGCAGATGTGTTTATTGAGTTCTGTAAATACCGTCAGAACAGCGGTAACACTGGTTAAACAACCTCCTGGGGGTTTTCAATGATTGCCGGGTATGGATGCTCAGATCTGTGACTCCAGTGTAATGTAATACAAACAGAGGAGGCACATTTCATGATTCAAATCTAGCAGATTTATATTAAAAAAAACAACCTACTCTATCCAACTGAAGCAGTTTTTAAGGATTTCGAAGGTTGACAGGTCATCCACAACAACAGACTTGTAGGTAATAATGTAAATACTGCTCACATTGAAGGAAATCGCTGCAACTTGAGTGATTTATCATATACGGAACCCTGTGGCCTCAGATAGACTCCATGACTCCCACAATACATGAATACCACCTAGGATCCTATCCTTCGTTGCCAAAACTGCACAGATATCAACTTTTAAATGAGTCAAGATTGTAAATTTTGAACTGGTTGACTTTTATTCGTGGTTTCTGCCTGACACGAGCGATTAATCACAGACCACATTTGGTATCTACGTCAGACGTCCTTGAGCTCCTCTGGACATCCTTGTTGACCCAGAATGTATTCCTGGATTCATTTGGAGGCAAAGAATGTACAGAGGTCTGATTCCAGGCGTTTCTCTGAAGAAATTAAATTCCTACAGAGACATTCCTGGGTCGAATCAACACGCAGGAATCTAACTGGACCTGACAGCTACTGTCAACGCTGAAAGTGAAAATGTGAGCTTCTACTCTTTCACCGGCTACGTATTAGTTTACTTCTGCAGCATACAAACCTCCTTCGCTAGTTTCTGTCCCTGCTCAGTGGCGATGGGCTTCTCCTTCATGTCATTCAGTTTGGCAATGGTCTTGGGGTCGTCGCGAAGGTCAATCTGAAAGAGAAAAGCGACACTTCCTCTCAGCTAAATCAACAGGACTATTACCGTTATAACATGGATATTAATTAAAAATGTCCTTATTGACTTCTCTCATTTGTCAACATCAATTCAGGCATTGCTGCACTTGTCTCCAGGCCTCTAAACATAGCCATAAGAGCTGAACTGTTAAAACCGTTTTCTCATTTTGAAACACAGCCATGTTGGCCCACACTTCCTGCTCTTGTGCAAAGCGATTTCACAGCCAACCACAAGGTTCCTCACTCTTTTTTTATTCATTGCAATGCTCAGCACACACAAAACTCAGCCCCCAACCCACTCCCCATTCTCTGTAATAACCAATTATGATAAATGCATCCACCTGCACAATCTCACTGGGAGCAACCTTCATTAACCCTTTTCTTGATTGGTGTAATTTTGCGTCAGCGTGGCTCACTGTTATGAAGCTTGTGTGCACATATCAGCATCCAGCCGAGGAGCAGCGAGTGAGTTATGACAGGAACTGATAAAAGGGCAGTAAACATCAGCTGACACAAGATAAATCAGACACCCACTCCATCCTCCTCATCACTGCTGGGCCTTGGCTGCGCTGGCATTTGGTTGCCAGGGAACACGGACCAAAAATCACCCACAAGTCAGCGCTCGTTTTTTAAAAGGACATATGGCAGTGGGTTTTAAGGCTTAAGAAATACGCTAATACTTAGGATTAGTGTCATCTCTTAACATCTACGTTAGTTAAGTGATGCCTCTATTGAAGATCACAAGACATTAGCCCAGCTTTAGCATCTTTGCACAAGGTAATTGCTGGTTTAAAATCTTCTGATTTAATGATTAACTTCAAGGCAGGGAGGGCTGCAGCACAACCACAGACCCTTTATCCCCACATGAGTCAGAGCAGCCAGGTTTGTGGTCGATGTTTCAAATCTTCTGTGCCAAGACTCAAAGTTCTGCGGTATCTAAGTAATTTTTTTATCACGTCTTCTAACGAAGGATGCACTAATTTACATTTTTAAATTAACAATGGAAAACATGGCTGTGTGTAATTTGAAAAGGTAGTAAGATAGTCAGAAAATTATCACCTGATTCTGCACTTCCCATCAGCTCTGTGAAACATTTTAGCATATTTCAGAGCAGAACATGACTTTTTTGGTTCACTCTCTCTGCTCTCATCAAGCTCGTTTCCAGCTGCAGCAGGCAGCTGTTTGCAATGAAGATGTATGAAAAACCCACTGTAACCCACAACAGACCAGGAATGTCATGAGAACCTTGGTAAGTTGGTACCAAGTTGATGCCAAAGTTTCGAAACCTTAACGGTACTCAGTAGGCATTTGTGCCTACAAATATTCTAGTCTGCCGGAGGAAGAAGTGCAGCTGTACAGGTGATTTCACTCAGGTCCTATGTTAGATTTAGATTAGAGAAGTTTTGAAAAGTTTGTAAATGTTTTTCTGGCAGAATAAAACCAAACCAAATCCCAGATTGTGTGTCAGCTGTTAGGCCATTTCATCGCTGTTTCCTGTCCACTGGGTCAGTTTTAGATTTCTATTGCCACCTAAAATCAGTGGTGGTACACGGTGCTCATATTGTAGTTCTCTAGCTTGAATTTTTGCACAAATATACACTCCAGAAATGTTTGCGCTCTCCGATGTACGTCGTATTACAGAGGAGATGTGGGAACTTACAAAGTATGCAAGTGTCTTCCTCAGTGTCAGTTTTGTAGAGCACTTTATGCCATATCTCTGATTCAAACCAAAGCCAGCACAATATATTATGTGCTTTGTTAAATTCACATTACTGCTGAAAGCTTTTTCAACATTAACAAGTAGCAAAAATAGCCATCTTGTTGCAAAGGACAAACAAATTGCAGAAGTGACACATTTTCTTACTGTAACCTAGAATATCCAAGCACATATATGAATACAAATATATACATATAAGCAGCCATTAGGCGCTGAGCGTGAAGGCCTGTGGTGTGAGCACAGCATTAGAACCCACTAACCTGGGTGCCAATGAGCAGGTAGGGGACACTGGGCGCGTACTCCTGCAACTCCGGCACCCATTCTTCGCGCACATTCTGGAAACTGGCAGGGTTAACCACCGAGAAGCAGATGAGGAAGACATCGGTCATTGGGTAGGACAACGGCCTGAGGCGGTCGTAGTCCTCCTGGAAGAAGATACAGACAGTGTTGGTTAACATATGAGGATGAGAGGTCAGGAATGGCGGGGGATGAAGGAACCAATGAGTGGACGTGATTCATTTCCTTTTCTTAACATATGAGAAATTATAGTGATTAATTATTAAGGTGTGTAAAAAAGAAATGCAGGCTCCTCAGTGGAGCCAGGAGAGATAACTTTACACTGTGCTTGGCCGTTTCATACGATTGATGTTGATGATACACTTGGAAATGAGTTATTAAGAGGAAGGAACGAGAAGATGAAGATATAAGAGTTGCTTCCTTTCTGACAGAGCCAATTAAGGATTATTTTACATTTGCAGTCCTTTAATGCGAGCTGAGCACAAGGCATTGGCACAAGACGCTGAAAACCAGACACACTGCCATCTCAGATATTTGTGTGGTGTAAATGGCTAATTCACAGAGGCAAGACTGTGCTTTGTACGCCAGATCAAGTGCTCTCTTGTCCTCGCCCCAAGATAAACCCTTTTGACAGAGTGTCTGACTCACACACAAATGAATATTCATGACCCATCTCACTTCTTCTTCTGATGGCCCACATAAGGATGGGTCGAAGACACAGGCGATCAATGTATCACCAGTAATTAGATATGACTCAACCAGACCAATTCGAACCAAGAGAATCAATCTCACTCTCTTGTCTGGGGAATTTATTGTCCTCATCCCTGAAATCAACGCATATCGGATGCAACGTCCTGCTGTGCCGGAGATAGTTGCAATGGGACAACCGAGCCTGACAGTTTTTCATTCTGAAGCCTTCAGCGAGTCCCTTCCTCTGCCAAACACACACAGCACAGTCTGGTACAATCACACTGCTACGACTCCACAGACAGAGTCCTTCTCACACAAATGCATTAAGGGAAATGGTTATGCAAATGACTGTCAGAGGATTCTCCAAACAGCAGTACATCAGCCAGGCAAGTGTGTCATCTTCTGTTGCCTGTGTAATGAATTTAAGATATACTGACTTTATATCAGATTGGAGTAGATGATGAAAACTGCATACAAATCTTCACGCCTGCGCTCGTGTTGTAAATGTCTCAACTACGCTTCACTGGAGTGGGTCAAGTGGGTATAATTCAAAAAATGTAGGAGTTGTTCATCCTTGTATTTCCAAATGAGTGTGGTATTTCACAGGTTTTCACAGACCTGGATAATGCAGGAACTTTTAAATCATTCTTTGCAGATGCTTGGAACTTCTTGGAGCACCAGACGGTCGGAGATTATCACAGGAGATGATTGAGCATCATTTAAGCAACTTAACAGCTTACCTGACACTATCTCAATTTCCTGATGTGATAAATCAGTTATGAATGGAAACCATCTGGTGGTCCATCAAGTCGAGACAAACGGTAAGGATGATTCACAGACACTATGAGACAAAAGCATCTGATACACTGGATGTACATGGGATGGACAATATCACAACATATACAGTGAGACACACACAGATTTGGGTGTTCTGTTTATACCGTAGTGTGGCTTTATGGAAATATTGGACTTTTACCAGGTTTACCATAACTTATTAAGCCTTTAATTCACAGGATTAGGTCCAAACAGACAATCTTATCCAGCTATTCTATCCTTAAACTAGAAAAGGTATCACATTGTGATATACACTCTATGTTAGCACTGTGATAAAATACATGTACATATACCCTGATAGAGGGTTTTATCTATACCACCCACCCCTCAACAAAATGTTCTACCAATGGTATGTTTTCTATCATTAATATATTCTGAAATATAGCAGAACAGAGGATGTTTCCTAATGACTTTGTTGATCTTTTGACTTTTTAACATCACCATGAGGTCGACATTTTCCGTCTTAAGTCTCGGTAACTATTGGAGGGATTCCCATTCAATTTGGTACAGACATTCATGTTATCACCAACTTTGGTTATCCCTTCACTTTTCTTTTAGGTCAATAAATAAATGTGTCCAGTACTTTGGTTTATGACCAAATGCCTGAAGAGTTAAAGACGCTTTTGCTGCTTAGCAAATATTAGCATGCCAATAAGACGGTGAACATGGTAAACATTATAGGCTTCTTGTTATCAGAATGTTAGCATTGTTATTGGGAGCATGTTAGCATGCTGACATTAGGATTTAGCTTAAGTGCTGCCTCACGGAGATGCTGGAAAGCTGATTTTCTGGTTTGGTCAGACTACAGTTCCAAGAATTAAACTTTAACACTCAATTGATTAAGTTTTTATAGATAGGAATGTCTGTTTTGGGCTAAATAAACAAAGTCAACACCTGAAACATATCGAGATGTATCACATTGATGCAACAATGAATGCAATATTGCTATGAAGCAGTGTTGCTCATTGATTTGCAATACAACCAGAAATATTTAAAGTTATAATATGTAACATTTCTGAATTAAAATGTCTATAAACTCCAGAACTATGTTATATCTGCTGTTGAGTTGTGTATCTCGAATCAACAATGTTTAAACCCAGAGAAATCTGTCATTTTATTCAGGTAACTCTGCGACGCTGCGATGCTGTAGTGTGGTGTAGTGATAACTACATCAGTATAAACAGAATAGTAAAATCTATAACAGCCAAACTCCAGCTCATTTTACCCTCTTTGGAAGAACATGTAACAGCACGCACTGCTTTTGCATTCTCATACATTCTGTCCTTCCCTCTGCCCCCACAGACACACTATATCTGGCACATGGGATCAAGTACACTGTGTGTGTGTTTGTGTGTGTCTCTGTGTGCTCGTGACCTTTGCTTGCACAAGTGAATCCTCCGATCCCCCGGTGAGCCACAGACATAAAGGAACACAGTGTAAGCCACTCAGCAGTTTACTGTAAACAGGCTCCGAGCTTCTCCGAGGCCCATCTATGCCTCTCTCACACTGTTTCCTCAGTGCACCCCTGACACATTACCAAAGACAGTATGCCCACTAGCCTCTCAGAGCGCATACAGCGAGACACAGACAGTGTGTTTACTCCTACGTAGCTCCAGTGCTCAGCGCGGGTCCAGAAGTGTTTACACTCACGCTGCTGTTAAGGCGATAAAAGTTTCCAGCAGAAGTATGTCGCACAGTTTTACTGGTTCAGTTCAACAGTTCAGGAGTACATCACTGAGACGTTGCATAACTGTCTTTCCAAGGTAGCCAGGAGTGTACAGTAAATATTATGATGAGTGGAAAGGGAGGAAAGGAATGAGAGGGGGAAAAAGGGAAGCAAGAGTGTGATCTATTAACAGCAGCTTCTCTCCATACATGTCCATACATTTCTATCAGGGTGAGACTTGGCGTCTTCATTTGGTGTGAGCTTCATCGTGTGACTGTGCTCTGTTGACTCAGTGACATATGAGTGCTATGATATCGGTGAGTCACCTCCCCCCTCCTCCTTCTACCGCTCTCTCTTTTCTATCTTTCTCCTTTTCTACTCCTATCGCCTCCTCGGGGGCCGTATAAACTGACTGTGTCAACAGAGTCAGAGATGCCTGCTCTAACATGGCCGCCGGGTGGGAACGCATGCCCAGACATAGACGCTTCTGTTCTCTGAATTCTGTCTCAAATCTGCACATTTTGCAGAACTGGATTTAACCTCAGGAATTATAAAAAAGCTATTTATGCTCACTTCTGTTTTTACTGGTCCTTCAATGGTGATTAACGATCATTAATCATAAGCTCGAGCGCTGATGCACTCTGTCTATTCATGCCTGCACGGTGCTGGGAACATCCTGCCATACTCCATTCAGAAATCTGACGGTTTAATGTTGCCTTTAATGGAAGTTAATGGCAGTGGTAAAACATAAATAAAGACCTCCTATGAATCATTTGAAGGATCTCTTTATACACTGGCTAATTCTAAAATCAAGATATGCTAATTCAAAAGTGCTGAAATTATTATTTGACTAATCAGTTAAATTACAGAATCACCAGAAAGGAATTCCACTGATTTTACCTATAAAGTTTACTAACCATGGTAAGTGCTACAGTATAAAACAGCTGTATAATGTATTCTGTGACTCTGGAGGAGTCTCGGCTCTCGGCTTCAGCTTAGAGACTACAACATTTTAAAAGGATCAGGTTTAGGGCTGCCCCCTGACAGTCGGCTTAACTGTTAGTTGAGGAGAAAAGTCTTAGTCGACGCACTTTTCATTAGTCGGATAGTCGTAGAAAAACAAAAACCTTTTCTCAAATTCACTCGGGGCTGAGGGATACAAATATGTGAAGTTTCTTTAGTCTCTTTAAACAGCATAGGGTGCAATCTACCTTTGACTTTGTTTGTTCAGCATCCTACGTCACTTAGTAGCAGTTTAAACTTATAAATAAAACAGATTCTCTAATTTGTTAAAGAAAATAAAGGAGAAAATCAATTTTGTACATTTCTGTCTCAGAAATAAAGGAATCTTTTTCGGTCATAATTTGTTATAAAGACAAATAAAATAAGATAAAATCATATTGTTAACTGTATCGAACCGGGAGTATCATTACATCCCTAATAGGTACAGCTTGTGTTACAAACCGGGACATGGAGTTTGAAAAATGAATATTTACCTAGCAGGAAATATGCCATTGGTTGCATCATCAAGTGTAGGATCCGGTATCTTTACAGTCTGACCCATATTAGGGACTGAAAATCAGGACGTCTTTCTTTTGCTGCATCGATTTTAACCATTCTTTTTAAAATCTGTCTCTCATGAGTCTGCCAACTTTATGGAAGTGCAATACTAAATCAATGGAGTGATTTCTTTAGCTCCTATTGACAGTCTGGTTCCTCCCACTTCCTGTGCATTACGTATTCACCCTGTTGCCTTTATGTGCCTGCCAGGTACAGAGCACGGATCAGACAACACACAAGGCAGCTTGTTTATATTTTGTAATTAAATCTGGAAGAATACCACTTGGATCCAGGTTTGTTGTGTGTCACTTTTTGATTAAGCTCATTTTATTTGCATAATAGCAGCATAATACCATCAGAGAAATGTGCAGAAGCCAACCGAAGAACAGGTTGTACTGTGTTTTTGGTATAAATTACCAAACAAGTTTGAAATAACCTCAAAGTAACTGTGGAACATGGAGCCTTCGGGCCCCACTGAAGGTGTGGAGCCCTGGAGCATTTGCCTTCTTTGAATTACTGTTTGGTTTTTCACCTTGTGACGACATTCTTTGCTATTTTTTAGTCAGAAAAATGAATCTATTCATTGAAAAAACTCACTCCTGAATGAAAATAGTTGTAGGTAGTTCCCTCCCTACAGGGGAAAAGCGAGCAGCAGGTTTTCCTCTAACGTGTAAAATCTCGAGTTGAAAGTGTGAGCTGAGGCGAAGTATTCCTGTTGGTCTGTGTGAAGGCAGCTGAGTGGTGACAGGCTCCCAGCTGGGTACAACCATTTCCAGTTTCACCCTCCCTAACAACCCTCACCCCCATCCCCACCTGCCACCCTCCCATCCCCTCTGGGACGTCTGAGGGTCACTGGGCCAGTTTGGGTTGCTGAGTCAAAAAGGACTCATCAGACTGTACCAAAGAGTAAGCAGAGAGAGGGGGGGTCATAATGGGTGAAGTGAAGTGGTAAAAGTGATTACAGGATGTGCAGTTGAGTGTGGGAGTATTTGAAGGGCTGCAAAATGAGAACAATCCCAACAACAAAGCGTGGGTTAATAGGGCAGCAGGACACGGATCCCACAGGGTCGCAAACTCCTGAGTTCCTCTCCCTAAAGCGTTTCCATGGGTACCACAGCACTTAGTATCCACTTCCTGTTTCCTCCTGCTTCTCCTCGGGCAGCGATGCTAGACTTTCTTGAGTGCAGAACGAGCAGCATGAGAATTAATGAATAAGTAAAGACTTTCTCCTCTGTTCCCCCGTCGCATTCAGCAAAACAGACTTCACAGGCCTTCCATATGGAATAATTCAATAGGCAGCGGCTGGAGGGGGCAGCAACGTGGCAGCAGCGTGCAGACAATAGCGAGGAGGGAGTATCAACAGCAGACAGAGCACAGAGGCGCTCAGCTCAATGCCGAGCCGTGATTATGAGGCCTTGACATGTCACACCGATGTGGCAGCGTGGAATCTCATCGGATGAGGGCACGGCGGCGGCGTTTATCTGTAATGCTGCCGATGCCCTTCTGCTACAGCGAAGCATTGTGGGAGCCCCAGCCATGCCGGGAATATAAATATAACAGGGAGCCTTGAAGCCAGTTGAACATGTGTAGCGCAGGCCAGAGGTGGAGAGGATGAGGGGAGAGTTTTGAATTAAAGAGAGAAGAGAAAGGAAAATGAAACTGAGAGGAGTGAATTTATCCCCCCCTCATCTGTCTCTCTCTCTTCCTCTTTCTGTCTTCCTTTCACTCTCTTCTCTCCCTCGCTCTTTGGGGCGCCGGGTCTTTGATCAGATGCTGAAGCTATAAACATTACCAGCTGGCCTTGTGCTCCACATAAAGAGGTCAGCAGAGTCGGGGGGCGGGGGTTTTGGCAGGGTTTTCTTTTTTTTGAAGAGCGGTAACTCTACTCTCGGTGGCCGGCAGCAACAACCCACGGCAGACATCTGGGAGAACTTCTCCATTTCAGAGACACTCTGAATCAGCTAAAAACAAACCCTCCTCTGACACACACACACACACACACACACACACACACACAACCTATCAAACACACCAGAATAGACAATAAGGTTGTGTTCCTCCTTTCTACAACAGAGTAGTAACACTTCTACCATCTGTTTTCTCAGGAAGAAAGACAGCCACAGGTAGTTGTTTGGGTGGGAAGAAGGAGGGAGGGTGGCTGTGATTTGCTATTCCTGGACTCGTGCATTTAGCATTCATGAATGAGCAGAACAGGGAAATGGCCGAATTTCCCCGGGCTGACCTTTCAGTCTTGAGTTTTTGTCTTTCCGATAAACGGATCAGATTTCAGATTGTGACTCAGTCTGACTTCACGCAGTTAAATCTGGCCCAGAGGAAAGCGTTAACTATTCAACATTTGACGTGTACAGTTTTAGGTCGCTGGAGGTCAAAGGTCTCGGGGAAAAGAATGGGTTCACTACTGCTGACAAATCTCACAGTGCGGAGTCCAAACCCTTAAAGGCACCCTGTGGAGTTTCTTGTAAACAAACAAAAGTTTTGTTTATGGTCACAGTTTCTCACTTAAATGCACTGTGTGTCATCAGTGTTAAAACCGAGGCGAGCAAACGCACAATGCAAACAAAGCAGGGGCCCGCTCTTAAAAACATTGCTTCTAGTGGTCAAAAACTCCACAGGGGAGCTTTAATATTTCTATTTTTAACATTAAAATATCGGGATTAATGGGCCCTTTAAAATGTGTATAATATTGAGTATGTAATTTAGAGTATGTAATTTTCCAGGATCTTTCCAGGTGTTTTTCTTTAAAAAAACAAGACAACACTTGTTTAAAAATTGTCATAGAAGTTGCAGTTTCAGACAAATTGACTCTAGTTTACTACAATTTTCCTCTAATTGTAACATTAGTGTGGCCATAGTCTAAAAGTATCAGTACAAATCAAGTAGAATAGATTTTATTTTACAGAAAATCCATCTTCTGGAAAGTTAAAGTGAAAATAACTGTGCATGTATTTATCAACCACAGCAACAAATGTGCATTTGATCATTATTAGGCTGTATGCACGGAGATGTGAGAATTTTTCCTCGCTGCTCTGGAAAAAATAGACATGATGCCAAAAAGATCACTGCAAGTCAGTTCCACTTTGCATCTGGTAAACCTGCTTTGAAGTGTTGTACAGTTCAAAGAGTTTCAAACTAAGCACGTACACAGGTTTATGTAGGCGACCTGGGTGAGGGGCTAAAATATAATTAATAATATCCAGGACAACATAGATTATTTGCAGGATAGTTGCTAATTTCTATCAATTTCCAGGTGAAAAGTTGCCTCTAAATTTCCAGGAAAGTCTGAATTATTTGTCAGCAACAGTTAATCCATTCTTCAGATCGACTAATCGGTTACTTGAACTAATAATTTCAGCTCTAGTCTAATCGCACAGAACAAATTATGATCATTTCTGCCCTCAGACTGCAGCGCTGGTGGCTTCACATGGCGTGCTGATGCTCTCGATGAGCCTGTCTGTGTCTGTGTGTTCACGCGGTTTCCTCTGCCTTTGTGTGTTTACACCGGCTCTTCTGCTGAGTGGAAACATTATTGTGTGTGTCTGTGTGTGTGTGTGTGTGTGTGTGTGTGTGTGTGTGTGTGTGTGTGTGTGTGTGTAGGCCACTGTGTTTTGCCTGTTCAGTACAGTTTTAACTCTTGCCCACTGAATGGCACATTGTAAAGAAAAAGCCCAGGCATTAGGCAGCCCTATTAACAAACCTGTGACATCACTACTGGACATTGGAGCCCTGTTCTCCACATAATAGAACTATTGAAGCCCCTCCACTACCACCACTGTCCGTGGCACACCAGACTCTGGCAGTAAACCCATGTGCGAAAGCCGTCACCTGTTGCAGCTTAGTGTCTGGCCTGAATGTGAAGCCTGTGGGCGTGTTAGAGGCATCAGTTATTGGTCCCGGGAGGCCGAGATAGAGACAGAGTGAGAGACAGAGAGAGAGTATGTGTGTGAGAGAGAGAGAGAGTGTGTCCTTGACATGCTTGGCACCTGGCCAGAGGGAAAAAATAAACTGTACCTGACCAGCTGTGTCATATAGTCCCAGCAAGTACTGCTTTCCACCGACGTTGACACTCACTGCAAGAAGATGACAAAGAGCAGTTGAGAGGAGGAAGGAGAGAGAGTGAGGGGTGGGGGAGCTGCCAGGGAGGGAGGAAGGGAGGGGAGTCAGGGTCCCCAACCCCTCTCTGCTATGAAGAAGGCAAACAAGTGGTTTTGATTATAGCAACAGATGCAAGCCAATGCAGTTGGAGCCAGAGAGGCAGAGGGAAACAGCTCAGGAAACGTTACAATCACACTCTAATCTGAGAACTGATTACCAAACAGCAGCAGTTCAACATGTCAGGCTGTTATTAATAGCTGCTGGTGATAGACAGAAGAGAGAGATTGTGCTCCTACCTGCATAATGATCAAAGACTGTGGGCACATACTCCTCTGGAAAGGCGTCATTGGCATAGCTCATCAGAAGACACGTTTTGCCCACTGCACCGTCTCCGACCACGACGCATTTTAACATGATAGTACCGGTTCCGTTAGCCATGATCCCGACCTTACCATCATCATCACCGGCCCCCCGACGCCCTGTTGTCCTGACCTCCTCCTCCTCCTCCTGCTGCTGCCGCTGCTGATGCTGCTGGGCGGTGATCCCCGCGCGGCGGGCATCACCAGCGTCGGAGGCGGACTGCGCGGCGCTCCGAGTCGGACTGGAACTGCATCTTTCTCCCCTCCTCCCCACCACCACCGGCGACAGTACTCCCAAATTTGGCCGTGAAGGAGTTTCCTTTCAACGGCTGACAAAAATTAACTGCACCCCGCCTCCCACTCAAAAGTCCTAACAGGTCTTAAACGGGTACTCTCCGATCAGGAAACCGTGTTTTCTACGAGAAGTACCGCCGCTGCCACTCCGCTGCCGCTGCCCGCTCCGTCGCGCCCGTTCCCCGGTGAGCCCCACGCCTGTGCTCCCGCTGCCTGGCGCACTGTGCTGCTGCTGCTGCTGCTGCTGCTGGTGGACAAGGTGGGTGCGCTTGCTGGAGAGGCGGAGCTTGCGTTTGAAACCAAGGGGCTCTCGATAAAGTGCACTCCGCCTGGTGGGGGTGTGTGGACCGAGGAGTGTAAGAAATTACATCATAAATATTAGGAAGAGTTTACACAAACAGGGGTCCTTAACAGGGATATTAGAGGGGCATTATGGGTAACCACACATGAAATTACAAAACATACTGAAGTATAAAGTTGCCAATAAGTACACACACCATTCACACTTTATTTATGATGATAATTAATTATTATTATTATAATTTCTTATTGAAACACATCAATATCATCACTTAAAGCACATATATATGTGCTGTTTATACACACTGACCTCATGCACATAAAAATACCTGCACAAAGACATTTATCCCAGCATCCTTTGCACTGTTGTTTTACTGTCTACAAATGTTATTGTTGTTGTTTATGTCTATATATACATACATTTGTATATAGTAGTTTAAGTCTGTTTTGTTGAGCTTGTTGTCCTGTTTATTTATGCTTATTCTGTATATGAGAGTCAAATTCATTGTATGTTCATACCTGGCCATACAGGAAAAGTCTAGGAACGTCATATTAAAACAGGGTGTAACATCTTAAGCCCACTATCACTCAGTCCTGAAATAAAGACAATATTATATTGATTTCACTTTGTCTAGACATGCATCTGTCCTACAGTCTGTAACCTGTAAGGACACACTCAGCTGTTTGTTGACACTGAAGTGCTATAACTGACTGTAAGTCATACACATTTAGGAAAGTTAGTGTGTGTGTTGTTCACATGACTTTATGGTTAATGAGATAAAGAGATGATCCACTGATACTGTGCTACTGTGTGTGTGTGTGTGTGTGTGTGTAGGATGGGATGTGTGAGGGAGCTGCAGATGGAGACGCCACAGGAAAGAAGGAGGGGAGATACAGAGATTTGACCTCTGCGGTGCCATTGGCCAGGTGTGGGCTGTCTCCTTGAATCAGTGCACACATAACCATCTTAATAAAGCACTACGAATGGAGAGGAAGGAGCATGCACACACACACACACACACACACACACACACACACACACACACACATTGTTATTTTCCTGTTTCACTTTCTCTCTCTGCTCTCCGTGGGAGAAATGGTCTTGAAGACAGCGCCCGGAGCACCAGGGGGTCCCGAAGTCAGTTCACAAATCCTTACATTTTACAGGGATTGTAAGGAAACAGCGCCTTCACCAGTACTTTACATAAAACTACTTCATGTAAATCTCTGAGTAAATGATTCAAATTCTGTGGCAAGAAAAAGCTATGAGTCTTTATAGTGTCACTGAGACTTATTCACCAACCACCTCTTTTAGTCATAGTAAGAAAAAATTTAATGAGAAGAATCTTTCTTTAAAAAATGGTTCAGCGAGTGACGTCACATGAGAGTTTGGTTTGTCTAGATGATAAATTCGGTGTCTCAGTCACAGAATATCTCGGTAGCTTCGTCTAAGTTTGATGTTATTTGTTAGCAATGTTCGGCCCTGAATCAGTCAGCGTTTAAACATCATGTTACATATTTCACTGATGATAATCAACTGAGTCACAGCTGACAGGAAACTGGGCTTCCTCTCATTACTGACAGCTGATTCTGTGAAAATAAAGACACCAGTAACAGCAGGCAAAGGGCCAAATGACAAAGTAAAATAACAGCAACTGAACTTACACACAATAAATAAATGGAGGAATAAAAAATAAATGATTGTGAAACTAATTAATCTAATTTCACCCACTTGCTGAATGCTGTCGTATAATTAATTCTATGTTTTAACACCAATTTCAGCACAGTCACACTGTTAACACTCTGCTTCTCTTTTCTCAGCCTTTCTCTCTGTTTCCTGGTTGAAACTGAACTCTATAGGCTGATCTCTTGGTTGATGGTCCCTAGACGGCTGTGAGCCGTCCAATCAGCTGCAGGGGGTGGGACCGCGGATTCTCCTGCTATCATCACATTTGACAGCTGCTGCAGCAGCTCACATGACCAAACAACAATTACCTCATACATGTAGTACTCCTGCTGAAGGTGTTGCATTGGAGACATTGCTCCCTGCTGGCTGGGCAGCAACAAGGGGGGGTGGGGGCTGTCAGCTGAAATGACAAAACTCAGCCTGCTGGGATGATGTCTGATGGATGCACCTTGCACTGATAGATACTATAAGAACATTATTCACTGTGATATTACTCCCACAGTGGTGTGTGGATGGATCAAAAAGGTGCAGTCAGTGAGGGTCAGAAGGCAAACAGCTACCAATCTGCTGAATATCCTCACAAAAACTTTATATCTACAGTAATATTTTACTGCCCTTTATAACATCAGTACATCAGTTTAATACTAGACCATGATTGTGTTTCAGTATCAACTTCATCACTGTACTCAGGCTGGACTCAAGTTCTATAAGTTATTTAATAATTCCATACAGTGAGATTGATGTATGTATTTATATTGATAGAGGAAATCCAGATTCTGTATTCTGATGTGAGGATGCATCCATAAAAAATGTATTCAGGATTTGAATATTTCCCTCACTGTGATATATGAATGTATGAAAAAATGTCTCTGCAGCGAGGATTTAAAGATCCAGTGTGCAGGAATATAGTAGCATATAGTGGGGTCAATTTGCAGATTGCAACTAACTGAACACCACTCGCATCTGTATTTGACGATCTGTGACTGAGAACAGGCTGTGAAGTGAACTATCTACAGACAGTGTTTGGTTTGTCCATTCTGGGCTACTGTAGAAACATGGCGGTTCAAGATGGACTCCATGTAGATAAAAACAGCTCATTCTGAGGTTAAAAAAACACAACGATTCTTATCTACAGGTGATTATACACTTATGAATATTTTCCTGTACTGACACATTATGTTTTATTGCTACAAGGATTTATTGTGTATCTATGTTAGTTAGTATTATTTATTGTGTCATGCACAAACAAGACACCAAAAATACAGTTGCAGTTATCAATAACTGCAATACCAGTTTGGTGCAGACATTCATGGTCTTTGTGGACTTTAGTGATCCCCTGATTTGTCATCCTAGAGCCATTATTGGCTCAAAATTAAAGAAAGAAGCAAAGTTTTTAAAAGACAGTGGTTGAAGTGGAGGTAGAGGAGAGGAGGAAGTGCAGTTATGAAACCATGAATTGATCTATAGAATTAAAAGTTGCATTTATTAAAGTTTTTCTTTTGAATTCCTTCGTTAAATGTGCTCAGTCTTTTCCCTGTCTTTCAAAAATGTCCTACAAAGAGTGTGTCATTTTTTTATACAAACAAAAATACTTTTTTCTGCAATAAAAAGTATTAAAGAAATAAATAAAATGTGGTCCAATGCTTTGGTTTATCCATCAAACAGCTTGGTTTTATTTGTATGAGCTTTACAGATTCACAGACCAGCTCTGTACACTCTTTATGATGTTTATGATCATCCAACTAAAGGAACTCATCAAAAAATGATGCTACAAAGTGTATCCATTAAACCATTAAATAATGAGCAATAAACCATGAAATGGACTTCATCTAAATCACACAACAAACAGAGCCCTTTGTCTTATTTCTAAATCTAACTTTAATTTTGAATACTGTGGTCCTTAAAAATGTCACCTTGCCCATCCACGTGTTTTATCTCCCAGAACATTCCTATTATAATCCTGTGGGGAGTTATCCATGTAAAACTCCCATTATTTTTAAGGACTCTTTTTTTGAAGGGCACGTATTGTGTTCACGCAGTGTATCAGGTTTATTAGGTTGCTATATAGCGCAGCTTTGGCGTATACCAGAAGACGTTGCAGCCCGGGAGTTCATTAGCGAGCTGCTGACCTTATTTCCCATGTGGATGACATTTAATATCAACTGTCTATTTCTGTGTGGAGCTAAGTTTAAAGGTGGAGGCTTCAATAAAATATATTGGTCTGCGGCATTCTGCATCGGCATATTCACCTGTAAACAATAATGTAAACACAATGAATGACTGCACGCTTTGTATATTCTCAACAGAGATGCTTGAATGGAAATGAAACTGTGTTTATGTGTATTTTATTCACGTTGAATGAACATGAATGAAAATAAACATATTCAACAGTATAGTGTTACATCAGTCTATTTGCAGAGGACTGCAGTCTGGCCAGAAATTGGTTTGCTGTTCTATTTTAGGAAAGGCAAACAAATGCAAGAGCTCTTCACTCCCATGTCTCCTATCCAGTTTCCAGATACTATCTTCCAGATCGTGGAGTACGCGCCTATGAGCACGCACACACACTTCCTCCCTGTCACTGACATCAATCACAGTCTGGACGTGTGAAGCGAGAGGGTGAGGCAGTGGACGGGAGAGAGTGGCGCAGAGCAATCACAAAGCGCTCAGATGAGCTCCTAAATTAGAGCGTGTGGCCAGCGTGGACTCCCTGGGAGGGTTTGGTTAAATTACAGGCCATATTTTTAGTGAAGGCTAGGCTTCATCCCTGGAAGTGCCAGCAGCTGAGGACCATCACTCACACTCCTGTCTGCCTCCAGTTTGTTGAACACCAGAGCTGTTAACACTTGTGTATGTATGTGTGTGTATCTGGTGAGCAGAGACCATTTCTTACACACAGTTTATGGCTCTGTGTGTGTTTGTTATGTAATTACAAACAATAATTCACCTCCAGTGTCAAAGAGTATGATAATCATTCTTGTGTATGTGTGTGAGACAGACACAGGTATGTAGACCAGTGGTTCCCAACCTGTGGGTCAGGATCCCCACTAGGGGTTGCCAAAGCTTCAGCGGGGGTCGCAAGGACTTCTTCATTTAAAGGCAGTGGTTCCCAACCTTATTGCTTATATAAAATTTAATTCATAACAATAAGAATAGAGAACAACCGTTAAACAGTAAAAAGTGAACAGAATCATTGAAGGAAGTTAGTGTAACTTTGGTTGTTTTAACTGTGTACTGTGTTACTGCAGGACGATGAGATATAGGCCTACTGCGTAATTGTTTTTATGTGTTTCTACATGCCTTAAAATCAAGAAGGCCTCGCAACCCCTTAATTATATGAGAAGTAAAAAATATCAGTAAAACTCATCTCTGATGCGATATTCACAGGAAATAATCTGCTCAAAATTCATCCAAATCGATAATTTTACACAAACTTTCCTCAGTTGTTGTGTTTACTTTTTTTTTTTTTTTTTTTTTTTACAGTTCATCAGTTGTTTTCTACTGTTTGTTGTTAATTGAATATAATATGAAATATACATAGAATATGTCTTTTGGTCAGAAGTCGTCGGTTTAGTCAAGGATAGGAAAGGGGTCCCTTAAGGAAAAAGATTAAGAATCAGTGGTGTAGACGTTGTCAGACATGTTGGTCATGCCAAAATGTCACTAGACACCTCCAGCCACAGACACACACACACACACACACACACACACACACACACACAACACACACACAAGACACACACAGGCACACACACACAAACCTCATCACATGAACTACTCAGCTGATTACAAGTGGACGATGTCTGGACGTGGGCTGGTTGAAGGGGATGGACCTTTGTATTATCTAGTAACCCTGAAACACATGATAGACCGCATGATGTTACACACTAAACGTCGAATGCTGGATTTGCCGAAACTGAGCGAGGTTTTAGAGGAAATGTTTCTCTTGTGCAATCGCTGCTGACCGCAACGAGGTCAAGATGAGGAGACACAGGTTAAACCATTTACTGCAAACAGAGACGGCTGGTTAGCACCAGTCGGTTTTTATTCAAGCATGTATAATGGACTAGGTCCCATTTACACCAACGTGATAGATAATAATGTTTTTTTATGGTTGACTCATGCATTTATCAGCTGTGAAAGGATCACTTCATATTTGGCTTCGTTTTCTCGTAAAGGTAAACAAACAACGATATTTCCCACTTAGTAGGAAGCCATTACTTATCATTTCCTGTTTCACAGACAATATTATTCCAGGAGTTGTTGACAGTTTGAAGAGGAATTATGAAACAGATCATCTTCCCCTGTTGACTTTCGAGTCATCTGCTTCAGTTATAATCGTGTGTGTGTGTGTGCGTGTGTGTGTGTGTGTGTGTGTGTGTGTGTGTGTGTGTGTGTGTGTGTGTGTGTGTGTGTGTTTGTGTGTGTGTGTGTGTCCAAAGTGCCTGAAAGTGAAACCCTACCAATGTTAGAAATGATCACCTGTAGTCTGCGATGAGAAAGCTCAACAGTGACCGCCCACTTTTTTTCCCATTCCTTTACTCCACTGATGTTTCAGATAGTCTTCATATAAAGACATTTAAAGGACCAGTGTGTTGGATTTAGTGGCATCTAGTGATGAAGTTGCGGATTGCAACTAACTGACCACAGCTCGCGTCTGTATCTGACGAATGAAAACGTGCTGTAAAGTGTGTAGGGTAACTACGGTGGCTGCAAAACACGCAAAATGCCCTCTACAGCTTGGTTCTTGGTCTGGACTGCCGTACAAACATGGCAGACCTGCGGCATCTGTACTGACACATTAGGTTTAATTGCTACAATGAGTTATAGTGTATCTGTGTTAGTTGGTGTTATTTATTGTGCACAGCCAAAAAGGGGCTTATGGGACCCCAAAAATACAGTTACAGTTCAACCAAAGAACACTGCCTCCTGTCCCAAATCCTACAACTAAAATCTGCCACAACTCTCAAGTAGAAATACAACTACTGTAGAAAGCAAAGTGTTATATAACATTCTTACTTCTGCTGCTAGTAAAACTGGATTATCACAGTGGACTAAGGACTAATATTCAGTTTCTGCCAATAAATCCTGGAACCAAGCCGACCAACTACAAGATGAATCGTGACCATAAAACATTTGATTCGGGGGAAGAAAAAGACTGTGTAGCTGTTGTTACAAGGGTTTATGCTACAGCAATATAGGATATGGATAATTAACATTACGAGCACTAGCTGGTGTAGGTTGTTTATGGCAAAAGTTAGCTTCAGCAACACACACACACACACTCACACACACACACACACACACACACACACACACACACACACACAAAACACTCTGTGCTAATCACTGCACCAGCAGGCATTATCATAATAAGCATAAAGGGAAATTGGAAAAAGTGAGGCATAGATAGAAATGTGTGTTAAGAGCAAAAATAAAAGGAAAATGAAGGAGCTGATAAAAGAAATGAGCTTGGGAAAGTAAAATCAATTAAGTTTTAATTGATTTTTATCAACAATAGGAAACATTTTAAACATTAAAATGTTGCTTTTTTTACTAACTGATTAAAGGTTAAAGGAGAAGAATAAAACCATACATTTCTTTTACACTCTTGAACACTTTACTGATTATTATTAACAGTATTATGATGTAATCAGTCACATCTTTTGTGTGTGGCACTGACTTATGGAGACAGACATTCCCAATTTATGCAATTTCAACACTGTTTATGGAGAAATATTCAAATACACTAGGAGAAAACATTCATACCACATGCAAAAAACTGCATGCTTTTTGCCCAAAATTGCATGGGATTAGCATAAAGTGGGCAGAAAGGGGAGACTCGTGGGTACCCATGTTACCCATTTTATATGCACATATCTTGAGGTCAGGGTAAAGGGGATCTCTTTAGCCTGCATTTTGAGCATTATTTAGCTGCCTTCCCAACACGGTAGCATGACATGGTTACCAATGGCTGCACTAGCTCATGCAGTTTCATATGGTAGCAGTATCTTCACTCTAGCTTTAATACGAAGCCAGCTACAGCCTCTGAAAGACAGTGTGGAGTGGAGGAGGTAAGGATAATGGGGTTATAATTTATGGACAGGACCACCCTCGTTTTACTTTCCCTTTACTGAACCTCAGCCAGCCCCACATCAGGCACGAAGGGTTCAACTATCAGGTCAAGTTGAAGGAAAACTCATCTTTTTACCATCTGCCCGAAGCCCCCTGCGTGTATCAGCCCGGACCTGACGACCATGACGCACATTTCTTTATCAAATGTGAAATAGACAAAGCCTAAGACAGTACACAGGATGTTCGGCTTGAGGCTTGACAACGTTTCCCTCAACAGTGAAACATACGTAGGTTGTTTATACTGTTTTGGCCTCCTGCCTTCATCCTCAAGACGCGAGGAAGGGTGTTGTCCTTTTGTTAGTGTCAGGCGTTGGGTTCCTGTTCCCAGAAAAAACGCACAACGGGCCGCGACGCAGGAGGGACTGTTCCTGCTTCGGCCCCCTGTACTCACTAAACATAGATCAGCAGAGGAAATGTCGCAGACACGCTGACATTGGTCGGGCAGCAGCACACGATGCTCAATAAACAAGACGCAAACAGCTGAGTGAAAAGAATACTGGCAATAAAACAAAGTCATTTCTGTCTTTTCTCCCACCAAGGAGTATAGGAGTGGGACATTGGGATAGATGGGCAGCGTATTTAAAGACTGTGTACTTTAATGAGAGCTCATTATATCGTTGGATTCCAAAAAAGAAAAGAAGACGTCGCCAACAATATATGAACGTATGAATACTCAGTTAGTGATGGAATTTATTGATGTCAGAATGATGAAGTTAAGAGTTGGACTCGCACTCATCGGGTGGACACAAACACGACCCTCAATGAAAGCTACGTTATAATAGCATATTATATTATATAATTGAAGCAATAACATATCACTGTTTAATAGATGCTATGTTATAGCTATGTTATTATATGTTATATGAGCTTTTATTTGCTTCAATTATTAGACTTTATTTGGAACAGGTGACTTGTTTTAGAAAGGTAATACGTGATTGTATCAGATTACATTTTTAAAGTAATCCTCCCAACCCTGGTGATTAGTAACAAGCTAAAATGCGATGGTAACAGTAAGCGGAGGTTAAATGAATGATTAAAAACACTGCAATCGTGGCTCCAAAGGGGAATTATTGGGAGGAGAAGTGTGGACCAGAAGGACCCCGTTCCCACCAAATTAGCTCTGGTTCTTGAACCAGTTCCATTCAACAAGAATCAACAATAAATAATCTTCTTATAGACAATAAACCTGTCTCCTGCATTAATGCTAGTCGTACTGGTGGTGTTGGAGAGCCTGATATTTTCTGAGGCGGTACAGACTTTGAGAAACACTGCCCGAAAATACTTTTGTTCTGAGGGAAAAATACATTGAGATGGTTAATGCTTCATATTCTAAATATTAATTTAAGCTGTTCTCTTTATATGAAAATAGATTAAAGTAATAACTTTAATTTATGTGAGAAGGTTTTTATGGTATGCCAGAGTGTGACATAAGAGACACATCCTTTCATCGAGTGAATTTTGGGCCTTGTATTCCCACAGAGGAGGTTTAGGTCAGAAATAAATCGGTGTCCTTTTTAACCTTCTCACGGGCACCATCTGCTGGTTGCAGTGCATGGCCTACTTTCTCTCCCAGTTATATTGCTGCAAATCATCTGTCACATCTGGATACCAGAGGAATTCATGGTTCTGACATTAACAGACCAAAGTCTGATTGGTTGTAAATGAACCCCAAGTGAATTATTGGATAAAAAAAGACTCAATCATGTTTTATTACTACTGATTTATTTGTATAAAAGTGCAGAATAAATACATGTTATAAATAGTGAATAAATACATGAACCAAAAGAAGCTGTAGTCATTGTGGAATAAATATAAATCGTGCATTACAAGATTTTGAAAATATGGATCCCGTTTCCAAAGGTTCAGCAGAGTTTGTTGACTTTTTGTATGTACACACCTCAAAAGCAAAACTCAAATGACTAAAATCTAAATAATACATGTGATTTCTAATTGTCCACTGTAAATCTTTATCACAGAGTCATTAGCAGAAAGCCATTTTATCTCCAGTAGCTTGGCTGTCCAGTCCATCTCCTCCCAACCAGTCCTCATCCAGCTCCCCCAGAATCTCATGCAGGGACAGCACCGGCAGCGGGGCGTGCTGGACCAACGCTGGAAGACCGGACTCCCCGCAGCTTTCCGGAGCAGCTCCGCTCCACGAATCCTCCAGCTGCGTGTACTGACCCTCTGGTGGTGGGCTGTTCTCCAGACCGGCATCCCAGTACCCGGAGTCAGGGGTGTCTGGAGTTGAGGAGTGGGAGGTGGAGTGGGGCATGTACATCTGCTGCTCTGCTGATCCCGGATACATGAAGGCTGCCTGGTTAGAGCTGTAGTTTCTCATCTCCAGGGGAGAGTGGCTCCACAGAGGGGGGGCAGGGGAGGTTTGGCAGCCAGGCTGGGACCAGAAGCCCCTCAAGGGTGGGCTGGAGGTGCTTCCCAGTGGCCTGCCCTGCTGGAACCCATAGATAGAGCCATGGTGTTCATGCTCCTCGATGGTGGAGTAGGCTGGAGGGCGCTGTTCATAGTAGCAGGCTTCCTCCATCTCTACCTTCACCTGGGCCGGGTAGGCTGGTGGAGGGCCCTGAGGTAGCAGATGGACTGAGCCAACCTGGGGGCCCCTGCCGGCTACAGCATGATGTGGAGGTAGAGCATCGTGGACTGGGCTATCGGACTGCCACAGAGCTTTCTTGGCTCCTTTGCACTTCAGGGTGCGAGCTCTTCTGTTCTGAAACCACACCTGGACAGGAAAGGAAGAAGAAAGGAGCTTAGATTCACATCAGGACGGATAAACAACACATTCTGTTCTGTTAATCATTTTCTGGGCAAACAGGCACCAGTGGATTCGGGGGGGAGAGCAGATTTAAAAGCTGTCAGCTGTCAGAGCCTGTTGTACAGTGTATCTGTCAGCTCAAACAAGATCCTGATAAAAACAGCTTGTGTCATCTTTAAAGATAAAGAAATAAAGTGATAGAGTGATAGCGGTATCTACAGTTCTATGCAGGATGCATTTGAAAACAGAGCCTTTTTATGATAAGAAACCGGAGTGCGAAATGCCTTACAACACAGCTGTACATCTCTCTGTGTGTTTCTATCTACTGTATGTGGAAAGCATGTATGTATTTAACCTTAAACCAGTTTCTCCAGATAAAGATGATTCGTAACTCTCAACAACTCAGTTTAATTAATTTTCTAACAAGTATTCTGCTATGTGAGGTATCCTGGGCGATTATGTACCTGGATGCGTGACTCGGGCAGGCCTGTTGTCTGGGACAGGTTCTCTCTGAGGCTGATGCCAGGGTACGGGTCGGTCTCGAAGGTGGTGCGGAGGAGCTCCACGTGTTCTTTGGAGAAGCTGGTCCTCTTCCTGCGGCTGGCGCTGCGAGAGGAGCCCCCGCTGGAGGCCACGGGTCTGGCATCATCTGAGGGAAGAGGAGAGAGGACAGGTTCCATCAGTCAAGATCCATAAAGACTTTTATTATGAAGGATACAGAAGGTTGAATATGGACAATGGTACATATAAATAACTGCCTGGTCTTTTCTGTTTGCATCTAAACATTTCTACATACAGTAAAATTAAAGTTTGTGAATCAAGAAAAACAAGGATAGTGTTGTTATCCAGCCAGTTATTTGTAAAAAATAAAGTGCTCATTGGTGCAGAAGGTGCTGCATTTGACTTTACACAAAAAGTTATCACTTCTGGATATTTACTTTGTCTACAGCCACTCTTTCTTTCACTGCCAACCCTGGTTCTAATATTTGTAAATTCTTGATAAGTTGCTTTATATTTCGTGCAAGGAATGCCAAATTGTTTGCACAACCTAACAGAGGAATCTGATACTACCTGTCTGAGTCCACATGCACATGGCATCATGCAAACACTCAACCATTTCATCCAGGGCTAGATCATGTAAACAGTTTACTTCTCACTAAGACACGGCTACAGATCATTAATAAATGAGGCAAAACTGACTACACAGAGGTTGTTCTTGATGTTTTTCTTAAATTGTACAGATTATAAAGAATTTCTTACCATTGCTGGAGTCCTTCCACATAGCAGCAGTTCAGTGAATGAAGCTCTGGAAAAACAAATGGATTTCTAATGGACTTCTGTTGTGACAGAGTTCAGTACGACAGTGTGTTCCTTCGCTGAGAGACTCTGGCTGTGTCTCCTGCTTGTGTCAGGGTACCTTTTATATTGATCACCTCAGACCCCCGGAAGGCCATGGTGAAGCCAGAACAGTGTGTTGGGTGGGGGGGTCGTTTTCCTTTGAGGTTGGGTGGTTAACAGAAGCCCCCCCCCACCCCCCCAATCATTATCACCTAATCCCTATCAGAGTGGTGGCAAGGTCAATGGCAAATATGGCACATTGCAGAATGATTTGGGGAGAGACAAAAGAAAGTCTCAATATGATCGTTAGGCTCATCGATACCACTTAACTCAGAGACGACTTACATGTGATTGCTTGTGTTTTTGTGCTGTTGAATATGTGAAATATCAAATAATATACACACAGAGCAAGAAAGTCTTACTCTGTTTCTTTCTCATCCATTCTTTGTCTTTTTTACTACTATTTTAATGATGGTATGAAACATTTTAAAATGTGTTTATATGCTTTGTTATTAATGTTTATTATTACAGTGCATATAAATATATATTATTCCAGTATTCATGGTACAGATGATTTAAAATGTGAAATACTGGATAAGAAGTAAGCAAAAACTTTAATTTAAAGAAAGATTACAACCTTTATCTTTCTTAATATCTCAAGGCTGCCCTTTTATTCAAATGTGGCTCCTGGGAGTCATGTGATTAGTGTCGGGCACAAACATCGGCAGCTTTGCAAACTGTTGAACTCCTGATCAACCAACAATAGCCTTAAAGAAATATTTAACTTAGCAAAAAGCAAAAGGGCATTCTGAGTCGAAGCCTATCAGCGGCTCCTGTTCATATGCAGAGCAGCTCCGTGCTATCAGAGGAGGAAACACAAAGCTGGGTAATTATTCAGTGATGAAGTGGACGCAGCAGCCTCGCTACACTGAATCAAAGTGAGTGGCAAGCTTGTCAAATTGTTTAACATGTCCAGGCCTTTGCCCGAGCTGTATGCAGATGCTGCAACCTTTAACCTCCATATGTCAACTCTGGTCTTCAGCCGTGTGATTGCTTAAATTAAATATCATGCGTTCTATTTATTTACATTTGTTAGTTTAGTTTAGTTTTTTATGTATTTAGGCTATGGATGCTGTGGTGTGTGGCTTATGCTACATACTTCTCCCTATACAAATAAACAATAAAATAAAAGTAATAAAATGTTTCAGGCATCGTGCGTATTAATAAACATTGCTGTATATATAAAGAATTAGTCAAAAGACTCGTTATCTGTAGTCCCAGGTTTAAAGTTGGCCGCCTGAAATCAAACAATGATGTTAAAACACAATTATAATATAAAATATGTTAATTACAGTAAAAGCAGAACACAATATACACGATATATGTATATTGGCATGGCTTAGTGTTGACCTAATGCTTTTCTGAGCATCAGCTAAACGTCAAATGCACTGTAAATGTAAATGCTAGTGCTAACGCTGTAATGCTAAAGTCAAATAGTACAAAAGGGCAAAGTGCAGAGACAGATTTACAGTATTTGTTGGTGTATTAGAAAACAATGCAGCTTGAAGTCTACTAGAATTATCTAAATGCAACAAAACAAGCTAAGAGCATTTCTTTTTATCTTTATCTGGATAACTTGCAGAATCAATGTCTCCATGTGTGGAGACGGCTCCTGAAAGTCCCACCAACTCTCTCTGTGCTTTATCCAAATCCTATCAGAGGTTAATGCACAGCACTCTGCCAGCATGTGGAAGCCTCCAAACTCACTAATGTGAAACAATCATGAAGCGAATTCTGGATGTTCGTATTAAAAAAGAAACGCGTGCAACGTGTTTCATTATCTAAAATTAGTCTGATAAAATAATAAAATGGGAAAGAGTCTTATCAATAAGCCATTGCAGCAGATTAAACACTTGCTACGCTCAAGTTTACATACAATGAGTGATTAAAGATAACTGAACACTGAGCAGCATGTACTGTAGGCGATTCAGCTAATGCAAAATCACTATGGAGAGTTGTGTTTAGTTGCATCCTGCCACTGTAGAAATCTGCTTATTAGAAATCTAATTTGATCTCTTCATGTGAACTGCAGTACAGTATAGTAGTAGTGCAGTAAAGTATAATCAGGAACACTGCGCTGCTGCATTTGGTTGGGTTGTAATTTTCAAGTTAGTTTGGGATTAAGTTGGACAAACATTTAAAATAAAAAAAAGAATTTGTTTGAATTTGAAAAAAATCCTGTAAAATGACAATGTGACAGACATGTACGTCATTTTCTGACTCATTTTAGGAAGCAAAGAATTATTCTGCCATTGTGTGTGTCATATTTTAGTAATAGTTAATAATGTTTTTGGTTCTGTGTAGCAAGAGACATCACTGAAACATTATCAAATAGTAGAAAATAAATCCATATATATACTAAAGAACTCAAGTAACAGTAAAAGACACACAGATTCATTACGTTGATTAAAAGCATCCTCTCCAATTTCTGCTACCTTCTTATCCAAAATTATATTATTGTCATAATTTATCTAAAACACTAAAGGGGCTGAAAGTCTGATGTCTCATTAATCATTTTCTAATAAATAAATGAGGCATTGGACACCGGTCCAATCACAAACAGGACTTTACAGAGAGGGTCAGAGGCTAAATGCAGACACATATTAAATCTTGCAAGATAAAAATATACTCAGATGTTAGAATTTATACAAAACTTATATTTTTGAGGGGTGATGATGGACACAATTGTTCTATGTCAGAAATAGAGTTACTGCTAACAGCTGGAGGTGAGAAAGCTAAATATAAAGTAGTAACCAGCATTAGTGGGGAAACAGGAGAAAAAGTACAAAAACATTCACTCAAAACCTTTAATTTTTGAAAATAAGTAGCAGTTAAAGAATATAAAATATTTGGTAACTGAAAATATTATAATATTCTCCTCGAAACAGTATAACTAACTCTCTTTTAATATCTTAAAATCTCTTCCAAACATGTATTTTTAATCTTTTCCCCCTGTCACTGAAGGACCGGTTGCACAAACACAGCTCCACAAAGCAGCCACAAGGGGGCAGCATTACAGTGAACTCTTATTATAGTGTATGTATGCTTATTATACATTTATTAATTTATAGGAAGAACTAAACTCTACAGTGAGAATACATATTTATAAAAAAGGGTGATTTGTTGTGTATTTTTCATTCATTCAATTACATCCTAAATATTTTTTAATTAATAACATTTTCCGCTTCTTGTTTTCATTTATTTATTTTTGTTCCTCGTGGTTTTATTTTGCTTGTTGTTTATACCTGGAGCAGGGGTCAACAACCTGTGGCTCCTCTCCAGTGGCTCCCTGCGGCTTTGACCAAAACATATATATGGAAATTAATAAAATTAGTATTATAAGTATATAGTATTATATTTTCCAGGCAGATTTGTTTATTTGATAGGTAAAAGGTTGCTGACGTCTGGCCTGCAGATTAAGATTTACCTGTTTCTATATACAGATGTATGTTTCTATGTGTTTTTATTTCTACAAATCCCCCTTTTCTCCTCATGTTGATTTCATATACTCTCCACGAGTTCCTGTGTGTTTGTTTTTGTGTGTTTAACATCATTTTTAAAAAGGTACTCGAAGGTTGTTCCTCTCTTTCGCTTTAAAGACAAAATAATGGAGAGATTTCCCCCCAGTGAAAGCATTTTTTACCAGAATCATTATAATGAACAGTGAGAATAACTATGATTTCTCTCAGATTGAAGTGTTGTGTAATGTGTACGCACTGCGCATGTGCACGTCATTTGGCACTTTATCTTAAAACTGCTAATAATCCCCAACTTTAATATGATTACAGCTTTTTTGTGCAGTAACTGATTACAGCTACCTTTTTAATGTAACCTAGAGTCACGTTACATGTAATCCGTTACTCCCCCGGGCGGTGCTCGTCAGCTCGCCCTCTCGCCGTTGTTCTCACACGGTCACATTTGACAGCGGGACCCGCGCAGAGCAGCAGCAGCTATGGCTAAAAGTGATGGAGGCGATTACTTTAAAAGAACCAGCCTGTTCTGGGTCGTCAGCGTGACACTGGCGATGGGATTCTTCACTGTAAGTTCAATACATCACCAATAATCGAAGTTAAATCAATAAAAGTATTTTTTTTTTAATAATTTAACTGACTGGAACTGCCACCGTGTTGTGTTGCGTTTAATGTCCTCCGGGTCGTGTGTTATTAGTTTTATTCTAATAGAGGTTATTTTAAAACCTTTATAACACGACTGTTTCCTGTTATTTCTCTCTAAAATGACTTTTAACATTTGATTTTATGTGGAAATGTTTTTATTGGAGCAGCCTTTGAGGCCATTACCAAATCACCGTGTGTTGATATCTAATCTTATCAGGATGAACTGAGTCAAATAAACACAAACAACCTTTGTGCAAAGTCCACTGGACGAGTTTGCCCCGAATAACTGCCCCGATACCTTCTGTTGTCTCATACAAGCAAACAGGTTGATAGATTTTGGGGTTTTGTTGTAGTTAATGTACGAGGCTTTAGTCAATAAAATATTATATGTAACTTTTTAAATGGGGTTTGGTGTAATGCTCCATAGAAGTGGTCACATATCGTTGGACAGGCTCGTATATACATGTGCCACGTATACACAGTTAATGTAGACCTGTTTCTCACTGCAGTAAGGCGATAACAAATACACCAACGTGTTTTAAATTGAATTCATAATCACTAATAGTTAAAGAAATATGGTTTCAGCCTTCAGGTGAGTCTGAAATCCAGAACCGTAAATGGACTGCAGCCTCCGGGCCAGAGGGGCCCTGCCAACAATAACCCTTTGTGTTGTCGCTCCTGTGACATGTCAGGTGGTGTGTGTACCTGACACAGGTGGACAGCAGAGGACAATAACACAACGGCACAATGCTAAATATTTTAGGGCTGTAAGGCTTGAAAATGCAGGTATTTATTGTCACGCTGTTCTTTGTGTAGCCACAGAATCATTTATAATGAGACAACGAGACAATTAATGAATGTTAACACTGTGTTTTGTATTCAGAATGAATTCACTGATATAATTAGGTCAATTAGTATTGTTATTGATATTTAGGTATGGGCGGTAATCATTTTAAAATGGATATAAATGTGACAACAAGACCAAAAACACACCTATAAATGACATTTGTAATATAAAACTGTACAATCATTAAGTAAACGATGTGCAGCAGAGGTTTGAAGCCAGAAAATGCTTCTGAAGATACCTCTCGTCATAAATATAATATTTAAACTTTAAAAAGAGATAAACGGATTTAAAAAAAAGATTGTGATTTGTGGAAAATAAATAACTGTTTGAATGTTCCCTGTTCAGAGTGTAACTTCTATCTGTAGAGATGTTATCAGGTTAACTGGCTGTAAGATGGAGTCAGATTCACATGACAAAACTTAAAAACACAAACCCAAAAACTGATTCTCCTCGTGAACTGCATCAAATTGAAGTTCAGTGGCGTGAGTGGTCCATGCAGCGGTTACTGTCCTGATCCAAAGAGCCATTCATAAGCAGGAAAACCTGATATAATACAGTTATTATTGTCAGTGTAATTTATCTGTAATCTAATTGAACCAGCGGCTCGCTGCCTGAGAGCAGACTGAAGACCGTTCATGCCAACCAGCCGGAGTTTCCACTATTGAGCCGTGAACTGTACGTCGGATTCTTACAGCACAAACAGTCCTTTGACTTAAAGGTCATTTTAGGGTTGAAGAAGTTTACAGAAGGCTTTTTACTTTCTCTCAGCACATGTGTATGTGTATATGTTGACCTCCTGTGTGTTTTGCAGTGCACTGTGTTTGCACCAGAGGTGATCCCGTTTCAGCACCTTGGTCCGTTCGGCACCTTCTGCAGATACCTTGTGGACAACTATGCCGACATTATGTACAAAGGGTAAGTGTCTGTGTCTCCTGTTGCCAAAGGAAATGTTCTTCTTGATCACGTCCTGAATCTGGAGGACGCCAATTCTCTCAAACTCTGATAAACGTGTTGAGATTTTCTTTATTCGGTCGGCAAACGATGCGCGAAGCACCCTGAAATACGCTGTTTAATCAACCACAGCCTTAATGTTTTTTTTTACCGTTTACAGATCGTTACCGCCACCTCCAACCGGCAGAGCACTTTGCTAATGAGTCGTCTGCGTCACATGACCGCTGTAGCACCATTAGGATATTAAGACAGCAATCAAAAGAGGATGTTCTGTTGGTGTTTAGGTCATGTGACATAGAGGACAGTGTTTTCTAAGAAGAGGGCTAAGCTGGAGGGCGTCATTCAGTCTTTGGTGGTTAATCATCTGTTTAGGTTGTCATGTGACTGGAACTTCCCAGACTGCTCTTATGGGTAAATTATCGGTATGTGGGGTTTAAACCTGCAGTATGTAGTTTCTGCCACTAGGGGCTCTCTCACATCAAAACAATAACAAAATCTAAAGTGTGATGAGGAGGTGAAGCAGCGTGGGATCATGGGAGTTGTTGTCTTCACCACCATTGGCGTCATTGCAGTCAGCTTCTCCCGGTTAGGATTCCTTCAGTGTTCATGGTTCAGGAGGTTTCTACCGGGAGCCCAATGATCCACAGAGGTCTCCTCCTCTCCAACACAAACAGACCCGCTGATTAAAACCACTAAACACACTGAATAAAGCAGTTCCACCTTAAACACACTGAATAAAGCAGTTCCACCTTAACAATCACTGCTTCTCCCACACTGTTCAAATCTAGAGTTAAAAAGCACCAAGATCTGAACAGTGGATGGTAACAATGTGGCTTCAGACTGGATCAACAGTGTGTGACAACCACAACGCTGACGCCACTGGTTTTGACTGAGTTTGAACATTGTTGGAAACATTTGGGATAATGTAAGAACACAACTGAACTAGGTCAGATGTGTTTATAGGTATTTGAATGCAGAACTGTTTCACATTATAGCTTTCTCTCTCTGTTTCAGGTGGTGGGCGGCCTGGATCATCCATGCTTTTGAGGCCTTTGTTGCATTGAGGATGTGCACGTAAGAATGACAACAACCCGGTTGTCCACTAGATGGGGCTGCAACCAAAGTTTTTACAAATCTGTTTACCTCAACATCTAATATGAAAGTGGGCCTCCTCAAAAGTTTATTTAAGTCATTATATTTCAGTTAGAATGGTCTGTAGGAACTCAGGTTTTAGGGCTTTAGTGGGAAATGGTGCTAAGTTAAAGACAGTGAGGATGAGCGACCACTGTTTGGACACAATAAAGCAGCTGCTGACTTTGACTTGTGCTCATTGTTGCTTCTCTGTGGCCCCGCAGGGACAAAGGTATCAGCAGCGCCTCCACTCGCTGCATGTGGTTCGGCCAGACCTTTCTGTTTGGCTTCGCTTCCCTCGGCCTGCTCCTCAAGTACGACCCCGAGCGCCCCAAACAGCACTGACACCGGCAGGAGCAAGAAGCCTAACGAACAACACGGCGCGGGCCGAACCCAGGAGCTTCACTTCACACTAGTGCCTCTTCTTCTTCTTCTTCTTCCACTGTCACCTGAGCCTTTTCTGTGAACGATACACTACATATTGTCTTACATCCATTTCATTCCATAGATTTTCTATTAAGAAACCACAGTTTACCTTTTATAAATAATATTATAGAGTTTTTATTGATAATAGTATTAACAGAAAGGATTTGAGCACCAGAGTTCCCTTGTTGAATCCGCTCTGGGCCGAGTATTAACTACAATAGAGGGTGAATCTTTTCGAGTTGTGTAGGACTCTCGTGATGTTTACATCAGCCTGTGTGATGGCAGTGGGGATATTCTCTCAGCTGCTGTGAGGAACATACCGTCAGACAGGTTGGCTGCAGATGGTCCGCCGCCACCAGCCTCCAACGTCCGCCAGGATAAAAATAAAGAGCGCTGCTGTGTGCATTTTAAATTTACATTTGCCTTTCTTATACTGAAGTGCTTTAAACTACAGACTGGAAGTTCTTAATAAAGAGCGACTTACAAACTGCATGAAATGTGTCTTGCTGATTCTTCCTCTGAAGATGCTCTTTATATATAGAAGACTTTATCTTATATATTATTGAATTTTACTGAAGAATTCACTCAAAACCTGTTCAAACTCAATGCTAACGTCAACATGCAAACAATTCCAATGTTAACACTGATATATTCACCCTTTTAGTTTAGCATGTTAGCTTGTTCACATTTGCTCATTAACATTTAAAGGACCAGCGTGTAGGATTGTTGGAAATGTTTCATATTATATCTTTAAAGGACATAACGTCATCCAACTTATAAATCACATACCTGAACGTGGTTTAATCACAGACTTCCCACAGGTAAACAGTGTGAGGTGGCCCGAACGAGGCTGAACCACGGGGTCACCGTGTCCTCTGCTTATGAACTTAAGAGCATTAGCCCGTCTTAAACAGCTCCACTAGAGCCGTCTCCAGCCATTAAGCAGGGATGGATGGCACAGAAACAACTTACTTTCACATCCTGCCTCACCTTTACTCTTGAGAAATTACACCAACCATCAAAAGAGACAAGTAGAGGAACACATTTGAACCAGAAACGGTCACAGAATTTGTATTTTATTTGGAGAACACTGAAGTTGGATTGAATCTACCATCTCAGACAGTATAAATACAGAAATATATACAACAGTTTAAAAACAACATGGATGGAAAAATACATCTTTGTGCTGTTAGGGGAGCCGTGTAGTGTGTATGATTCATACTCTGGTAAACTATATAGTCTTCTTCTTAATGCAGCCTAACCACTTTACTGTAATTACAGGGTGCAATGATTAAAGAACAATAGCAGCATAAGCGGTAGAAGTAATATGAGTAGTATTTGCTCTATAATCTCAAGGCTTTTTCTGTATACACTTAGGTTTGCTTGTCTTAATGAGATTCCTATAACATATAGAGTTCATATATCATAGTATTGTATGTTACAGGATGTGTTTGCACGTCAGCTCACATTTTTATGAATATGTCATTTCCTCTTCTTCATTAGTTTTTCTATTGTAAATGTAGTTTGTGTTCAGGTAGTGATCACCGGTCCAGCCAGCATATAGAGGGGTAGCGCTCGCTCAGTGTCTTGCGTAGCTGAGCGCTCTGTGTCTTATCCCTGGTTTCCACCACACACTCCACCTGTCGACACACAGACACTCAGTTAGCCTATCTCTGACATCACACACACACACACACAAGAATTAGGGCAGCGAGCGGGTTGCAGGTTAATTGTGCAACACCTTTAACCCTTTGACATCGTTAATTCACCAGCAAGTACGGTGGCGGTTTGTCAGTGTAGAACCAGCAGATAATGAGACAATAAGACTTCTTTCTAAAAGCAATAGCAAGACACTAATCCAAACATACCTGTGAATATTATATTCAGTTTCTGCCATTAGAGCCTCCTAAATGTTACACTCTGGACCTTTAATGGGAAACAATAAGCTGAAGAAGCTTCATGACGTTTCTTTGAACTGGAATTCATCTCTCTGCATTTGATTCTTTTGTTTCAAGGAAAATAAGATTTTAAAAACAGAGACTATGTGAACGCTAACATTTAGCTGTATAGTGGCACAAGTGGAGAAAAATAGAAATGCACGATAATTATCAGGCTGAAAATGGGAAATTTAAATGATTATATATTTACTCTGAATTCTTTTGCAACAAGTTCCATAAATTTGTGTTTTATGAAAATAAAAATATGTTTGTGAAGTTTTTTGATGAACTTTACTAGAAATAAATGAACCCTTGAAGAGCTGTTAGACTTCAGTTAGATGTGGTTAGAAAATTCAACTTTTTATCTGCAACAGAAATAATGATTTATTTCTTCTTTCTAGTTACAATGAATATCATAATATGGAGCACTAACTAATGTCTTTATTAATATAATATATACTATTTTACTAATGGCATTTATATTCTCTATTTGGTAATAATGCAGTTATGAATACTGGTAATCAATTTTATCACTTTTAAATAGGCCATAAGTCTGTTGGTGTTAAAAATCCATTAATAAGAGTCGGCTCCATGAGGGGGCAACAGGGGTCACTGTGCCCGCTCATTTGTTTAAAAGCACTTCAGAGTCTTCTCAGGTGGTAAATTGGAAATCCACTGTAAAGCTAAAAATGCTGTTACGTGATGTTTCACAAGTTGAGCTGGAATTCAAGTTTTGTCTGTAAAATGAACTCATACTAAATACCAAATGCATGACATTGGCCAGGATCATTTATAGCCAATTTATCAACAAGAAAGTCACTATATGTTTAAACATTTGTTTTATTATTATTTTTCATTCTTTCAGATTTTAGGGGGTCCTCAGCACCCATAGGTGCAGGCTAGTTGAAGTTAGCTAAGCTAGCTGAATATTATCACCCTGGTTGACCGGCTGAGCCGCACTAAGTTCACAGTCGAGGGTTGATGTTGATGGAGCTTCTTTTGGAGTCAGTCACTGTCACTATTAGCCCATATTAGTTGCCACTTGCTAGTAATTTGGTGCCCCCCCTAAGCTTCGTGCCCCCTTTGAATATTTGTTCTTGCACTCATTATAGTCGTTAATATAAAGTTTTGGACCATCAAACTTCCAGTTGTAAGTAACTTCTTTACAAATGGATTTGGGTCCATATTATCTACAGCCTTTTCCACAAGCAGGCGATCCAAAAAGCTGCTCTCTTCAATGGATGATCTATGATTTGTAATGAATAATGAACCCATTATAGTTACAACTTTACGAAGGGCTCTTTATTAGAAAAGTGGTACCATTATTTCTGGCAGAGCGAGTGCAGGTTCTTCCTGCATACACAGCCTCCAAATACTGCGTAAATATCTCTATATATCGTACTTAATTTGTATTTTTGGCCCTCTTAGTCACACAGTTGTGTCCTGCCAACTTAAAGCCAGAAGTTCCATGGCAATGATGGAAAAGTAGATGAGCGGATTGAAGAGGATGAGGAAGAAGAACGAGGTGAGGAGGAGAGATTAGCCGCCTACCTTTGCCTTGAAGAGGTCCGACTTTCCACTTTGTCTCCGATGGCAGACGTCCAACAACCTGGGAGGGAAAAGACAGAGAGAATTAAAGGCAGCATCAAGGGACATTAAACATAACACAGATTGGACCTCGGCGTGAAACAACAGAGTAAAAGACCCTTGAGTGGACGGGTGTGGACCATTACCTGACGTCCTCTCTGGACAGGACGTCCAGCAGCTTGGCCATGTCTCCTGGCCATTCTCCCAGCTGCACAGAGAACTTACTGACCCGATCGTCCAGCACCAGGGCTCGGTCCACGCACTGCCTCACCAGCTCCAGCTCCATGTTAGCGCTGCTCACCACCACAGCGACCCTACAGCACACACACACACACACACACACACACACACACACACACACACACACACACACACAAACACACACACACACACACACACACAGGCATAGAGGGAGTCTTGTTTCATCTGCAGCCAAACGGATTAGCTCTGCTGACGTCGCTTTATTGCCAAAATGTCAGCTTTTCAGGCATGAAGAAAAACGTCTCAGCCCTCACAGCTAGGACTACATTTAAAATGACTATGACTTATACAGAAGTAAACTTTCTATAAACATAAAGAGCAGCCCTTTAATTATAAGATATTCACCTATTGGAAGCGATAAATGAACGCTGCTGTCTGTTTCTGACTTCTAAACCTTCATATAAGTAAGATAAGAGAATTTCCCTATAGGGCTCGGTAGGGTTCAATAATATTAACATATCTGACCCACTTTTTGCCTCTCAGTTCTGGTAGTTGTCCAGCCAAGATGGCAGCCAGTCCCATGGCTCCCTCTGTGTCCACAGTGGAGCGTTCAAACTCCTGAAACCGCAGCATCGCCACCAGAGAGTCCTCCTCACTGCGAGGCAGAGGTGAAGAAAAGCTTTGTCAATTCAATTTCTCAATTAGTAAACCCAGAGAGCATTTCCACAGAGACGATTCAGTCCAAATTAATCGATTTCAGCCGCCAGTACTTGGCCAAATGTAAAAAGGGCTCATAATAGTGAGCCTTAATCTGAATGTTAACACATAGACCACATTTCTTCACACAAAGGATTTCAGAGTAAAAGCATTCATACCTGACAGAGATGACTTTATCTACTAGTTTCTTAGCCAGCTGGAAGGTGTTAATGCCCAGCGAACGCTCCATAAGATCTGGGAACAGACAGAGGAGCGACATATGTTCAGTTACCGCAGGAGAGAAACTAAAAGGCCACATGAGCTTCTAACTGAAGAATGTGCTGACAGTGATGAAGGTTTATTCAACGCTCATGTGGCGGTTCTGTACTGGAGTAATAACTTTACCTCCATAGAGCTTCTTGTTGGGGTTGCCGTGCATGTCTTTGATTGGACCGTCAGTTTTCAGAGATTGTAGCAGCAGAGGGAAACCTTCTGGTTCAATTCCCTGTGGAAGAAAGTCCATTTGTGAAAATTGTTTAGTTTAAAGATCCCATACAGACTTGTGTTACGACATATACTGAATTTATAGTCTGTATGGAACAATAATGTCTGCCTGTTGTATTTTTTCTGCCAAAAAAATGGGTAATTCCCATATTAAAATCCTTAAAAAAAACATTTTATTAGTTTCCTGTTGGACACAAGATGTCTCCTCCTTCACTGTAAAGTCCTTTCTCAGTGTTTGTGCACTGATGGATCTCACTGTAGAAGTTGCATACTGGACCAGGATTATAGTATTTGTATATTTTCACCATGTTACCACATGTATAAACAAGAGTTAAGGGTCTACAGCCATGCAGCAGCTCTGCTAAATGCTACTCGTATTTAGCAGGTATAATGTTTTAAATGCTCGCCATTTCAGTGTCATTACTTTTCTATATTCACTCTACTCTACGACTGTTTTTCAAAATAAAACTGTTCATGCAGCATCCTGTACTGTTGTTTCATATTCTACATCTTCAATACGAACATTAATAATTATTCTGTGGAAAGCAGGACCATCTTATGGTAGTGAGGAGTTTGTTAGCAGGAAAGCAGTGAAACATGGTTTAATGAAATGTTAAGACTATTTATTCACACAAGATATTGAGTGATAAAGATGTGATATTGATGGAGAGAGCTATCCATCCTGATTTGTTTGTAATTAGTGGATGTATGTTGTTTTATTGATTACTTGTTTTGTGTTTGTCGTTAGTCTTACTGTGTGTACGGATGTCATTTGTTATGTGTCATGTGTCTTTTTCATTGAAGCATATAAATACATTATGTGGACCCCAGAGAGTGACTTCTGTTGTTGTTACAGGAGCTAATGCGACTCTAAATAAACATAGAAATACAATCTATGGGAAGATTGGAAGCATTAATCAGCCTCTTGTGTTTTATAATGATCACTACTGGGTCAAACTTGGCAGTAAATTTGATTGATTGCTTCATCATACGCAGGAATATTTATTTCTTATTGAAATCAGAAGCACGGAGCTGTCTGTTCCTCCAGTGTAAACAGCCCGAGCTGTCAGAGTTTCTGCTGTGGGCAGATACTGGAACAAGGGAAAAGACTTCAAATACATTTATCTTGTTAAGGGAATCCAAGCAGAATGAAAACACTTGGATCAGCACTAGGGAGATGTAGGAGGCAATCTCATCTATGCAGGGTTCATGGGAAATGTGGCTTCATTTTAAGAAGCAGCACTAACAAGAGAAGAGGTGAAACAGAGGCTACAAATCGACTCATCCTCCACATTACAGCTACTGTAGTTGACAGTGATACACAGATGAAGGTGAATTAACATGACTTACTATGACGAGAACCCGTGAGTTGAGGTGTTTGATGGCTGCAGCTGTACCAGCCAGGAGACCATACTGTCCAGCTGCAGGAACAACCACCGCATCCAGTTTGGGCACTTGCTCATAGATCTCCATGCCCACAGTGCCCAGTCCGGCCAGGTACGCTGCACTTTCATCTCTGGACATCAGAGAAATAGAAAGACAGAACACATAGGTGAAGGGCTCCAGAGCAGGAGCGTTTCCAGACAAGTGGGGCACCGACGTATGCAAAGGTGGCATGAAGTATGTGTCTCAGATTTACAGTCATTCCCAATTTATACAATTCCAACACTGTCTGCAGATATATATTCAAATACACACAAGAAATACCCATACCACCCGCAAAAAACTGCATTGGATTAGCATAAAGTGAGCATGTCTGCAAAAGGGAGACTTGTGGGAACCCATAGAACCCATTTTCATTCAGATATCTTGAGGTCAGAGGTCAATCCCTTTAAAAATGGCCATGCCAGTTTTTCAATTACCCACATTTAACCTAATTTTGAAACGTTATTTAACCCTCTTTCCTAACTAGCTACAGCTTCTGAAAGACAGTGTGGACTGGAGGAGTTAAGGATAATGAGGGTTGGCCAGTGCCCAGATGATCAGCAGACCTCGTAAGTTTCAGAGGGTTTCCTTCGTTACACACATTCTTATTTGCCATGCTTTCTTCCTTCCTTCTCAAAACCTGGCGCCTACATTACCCACAAAGCAACTCGACCACAGATTGTTGGGTCGAAGATTTGGGGGTGTTACGCTAGTAGTGGCTAGACTCAAGATGCTAGCTTCAAGCAGGGATGATGAGCAATGTTGTTGGACTTTTGACCCTTTAAAACTTCACTTTATCCATATAAGGAGCTGAATTGAGGCCAGAAACCCAACTCTACATTTTGTTATGTCATGACAGGAAACCACAGGGCTTTGAGCAAGTTGTAAATAAGTCACTATCCCTTTCTACACAATAGTTGTATTAAATAACTGGTTGTATTACAGACAGACGTATTGTGACCTCCGTGTTACAGTGAGTATTAGTGGGACTGACTCTTCCAGGTAGAGGTATCCGTTCTCTTTGGCCAGATGGCGGGCGTGGTTCTGGGAGTCGTGGCTGGTGCTGCCGTAGGAGATGACCATGGCGCCGTAGTCCCTGTAGATCCTGAGGCGAGGCGAGGAGCAGCACGACGGCATGATGACAAACACCGGGATCTTCAGCTCGACTGCGTGGTGAGCCACGGCCATGGAGAAGTTACAGTCAGTGGCCACGATCACACCCTTCCTCTGCTGCTCCTGGGGGGACATAAACAGTTTTTTGACAAATATTCATAAATCATAAATGTGTCAACACAACAAACATTAGTGGACGTCAATGGAAAATTTGCAATTTGCATTTTCTAATGTAAAGAAATGTGTGTGGGACTATTTCTTGCCAAATTCTCATTTATGGACGGATTATAAAAACAAGATATAAGATGTTAATTACCGAGCTCCTGTTAGGTGGATTAACGTACCTTTGAACAGGCTGTTTCCAGGCTTTACGCTAAGCTAACCATACCATATATTTAACACATATGAGCCAGTGTTTCTCAAAATTTAGACCACAGTTCCTATAATCCTTGATGCTTCCTGTCACATCAAAGTAAGATGTGTCCAGCAGCTCGCCGGGAACTTAAACTAGCTTAAACCTAAGAATTCATAAGAAACTCAAAAAGAAAAGTTAGCTTTTTTGAATGAGACTCACTTACTGACAAGCATACAGTATACACATGCAAAGGGACGTATTTCCAAGCCACTGTCCATTAACGCTGCACTCAGACTATTTTTGTCTCTACAGGTCAGTAATGGTCACTTAACACATGTGTGTCTGCACGGACACACAGATCATGTTAGCTGTGACCTGACAGACAGGAAGGGATCATCCTCTCCTTGTCTTACCCCGGCGGTAACCTCCGTGGCTGGAAAATGAAGTAAGTAACAAAAACTGCAGTTCCTCTAACAACCACTTGAGGCTGGCTCCAGAAGTGAGTCAATCTCCATAAGGCTTCATATTAAAATGCCCAACTTTACAGCAGAAATAAACATGTTTCTGCGTTGATGACAACTGTACAGGGGGTGAATTTTACTTTGATTCATATAGTCTATTTGGTTTTACCTGTGTGAGGGAGGTGAGCAGGTACAGGGCTCCTCTCTCCTTCACAGAGCCTGTGTAGTGCAGTTGCTCCTTCTTCAGGTAGATCTCCATCCCGTACTGTTTGGACAGTCTGGAGTACTGCACACAGAGAGGAAGCAGCATTTTAAGAGCAGCTCTATGTGTGAGTGACCTGAACTGTACACTACATTCATCAATCATCCTTTTCTGTAGAGATTAAAAACTTCATTCATGCTTCTCGATGTTTAAACTGATGTAATCGAGGAAACTTGAATGATCACAGCCTCGTGTTCTTATAGCAACAAATGTTAACTGCAAACTGACATAATATTTAATGAAAATAACAACTCAAGACACAGAAGATGTGACAATATATATAGAGGGGAATTAATAAAGAATAGAAAAGTGAGCTGGTGAAGTTATATTGCATTTACAGATTGTGTTTCTGGTGCTAATCTAGATAATCTGTTACTTATAGGAAGGAATCACAATGGATAAAAGAAGTCTTTCTTTATATTAATACTTTATCATCATCTGTATTTAGATAGGTGTACTTAATTGCTTCTAAATATATGTATTAAGGTAGGCTTATTTACTTAATATTATTAATTCTTAATAATTTTTTATGAGAATTATGTCTGTATTTTAATTTATGTCTCTATATTTAATCCAGTTTTCTGTGAGGGTGCCTGAATAAAACACTCTGTGGCTACTTTTTTAGGTACATCTGTAAAATGTAATGCAATCCAATACAACAGCTCAGTCGTACAATTTACCTTAATAAAGATAATAAGTTAGTTTACTATGTTTTTACTGAGGTTGTAGTTTGCAGTGACGTTTACTGGATTGTTTTATATTGAGGGTGTTTCTAATGTTTTGCCCCAGCATGTAATAACATGTAGGAAGAATATTAGAAGCACATTTCAGTATAATGCAGTCCACTAAGTACAACCTACAAGTTAAATTAACACGAATGAACATTAAGAGCTATGTAGAGGTAGAATATGTGTCAGAGCTGCTGTACTGGATTACATTAGAATTCATTTGGGCCCATTTGTCCGGTTCCTTGAAGCCCTTTTAGATCGTTTTCTATGAATTGGATTACTGAGACATTCATTTTTAGAGGTGCAGTTTCCATTTTATGTCTCTGGCTTTTTATGGAAATGAGTTTCTTCTGAGGTTCAGTAATTATTTGTGATGAATTCAGGCAGAGATCTCAAACTGCCGGCCCGCGGACCATTTTAGGTCCTCCATCCCTCTCCCTCCGACCCCGCGACACAACTTAAAAAATAAAGTACAATCCATGTTTCCATATCGTATTGCCAGATTTATGCCAATACACAGCCTTACTGTTAAAGACTGTCTGTCCAGTGACAGAGATGATGTTTGCTCTCCTAGCAGAGGTCAGAGGTTCCCGCCACATGACTTTATACAATGTAAGGTCATGCTATATCCCAGTGGTCCCCTACCCTACTAATAGGGGTTGTGAGGAGTTTAGATGATTACTCTCTGATAAACATGTAAGCAGGCAGTTAAAACAACCAAACAGTGGCCAAGTGTCAGGGAGAAGAAAACACTACATTTGTCAAAGAAGAAGTCTATTAATTGAAGTCTGTTTGATTGTATAAAAAAGAAAAATCATCCCTCAATATTCACAGAAGATAATTTGCTCAAAATTCATCCAAATCACTTGTTTTACACAAACTCCATAAAGTATGTCACTCATCAGTTTACGCAGTGAGAGAAAAGAGGTCCCTTCAGTAAAAAGGATGGGGCTGCTATATGCTAGAGTACCGTGCAGGGTGTCTTCTGTATCCCTGACTGGATCCTGAAGGCCGCGGCGCTGATGTCCTCAAAGCGGAGGTACTGGGGTCTGGCGACGATCCTGAACTCGCTGACGCGTCTGATTTTAGGGGGGTCCATGAGCATGATCTCAGGAGCCCCCACCACCTTGGTGTCATAGACCTTCACATCCCCATTGAGAAGATCCTCCTCACCAAAGTCCTTCAGCCGCTCCGGCTCAATGAGGGTGGGTCTGCGGCCCACAGTGCCATTACTGACGGGGCCGCATTTGTAAGAGCAGCCAGGCTGACTGGGGCCCAGACGCAACTCCTCCCTGGGAAAGACAGACAGATGATAATGTAAAATGACATTATTGACTGAATCCTGTGAAGCTTTTATTTTCACAGTGAGATCTGGGAACCACAAGGGATCCGTAAAGGATCGAAATGCAATTGTTGCACGTTTTAATTCGTTACTTATAGTTACAAACAGTAAAGATTGTATTACTGGTAAATACTGGTAAGAAGGTTGTATTTTTATTGTGTTTTCTAGAGTTCCTTTAATGTCATTGGTAAACTTAGATATTTGAGAGTTATCTAAGGTAGATAAAACATAATAAAGTGCCCGATAATCCTGACTGAACTGTTTCACCATGAATGCACACAACAGCGCTCTGGTGCCCTTTTTATGGTTTGTGCCACCACTGCTTGAAACTCTGAACCATTACAATAAACATTATGTGCAGTTTTATTGTGTCAGACTTGTTAGATATTGTTGTTAAGATAAGATATAGCCACCTTTAAAAAGGTTAATCTGTGTCCTTGAAGCTGAGTTTCTGGATTCATTTTGCACTAGAAATTAATCTAAGATGATAAACAATTTACAAACATGGATGGTGTGAAAAATATGGAACTTCTTCCATTTATGCAAAAATAACTACATAGACTCGATTCAGAAGAAATCACTAAAGTTTGATGATGCAGAACCTTTCTTATCATCTTTCAATCAATCTTTCTATCATTCATTTCATCATTTGTAACTTTGGTGATGAACTGAACAACTGAACTGTTGAGAATGTAAATGATATAATGATGTGAAGCATATTGACAAAAGTTTAAAGATTTATATTTGTGTAGGCAATCGAAGCAGCTTAGAACTCGCTCAAGCGGGCAACTCGGTGGGTTTTAAGAGGTTTTATACATCCAAAGATCTTCTATAAAACTAAACCAGGCCTCTAATTGAGACCTGCTTTTATTTGTCTAAACATGTAGCCACACCAGGCTAGTAAAGGAGACCTGCCTCTAATTGGGACCCTGCTTTTAATTGAAGGTTTATGGTATAAAATAACTTATTTCCTATGACTTAGTAGAGGGTCTTTTGGAACAAATCAGAACCGATAATTGAGAGACATTAAACTTCCTGTCATTTAATTCTCACTCATTCTTTTACTGTTTGATAAAACATTAGGACAAAGCTAAAGCAGACCTCAGGTGGGGCAGAGAGACAGACAAAGAGCAAAATCAAGTCTGTCAATTTACAAATGAGAGTCTGGGACGGATGTCTATGTGTGTCCTCCAGCAAATATCAGTGAAACTCTTTGCTGAGAAAAATGATACCGTCGAGTGTCATCAGTACGCAGAGTCCTGAGAAAACCATCTGTTAACGTCCCACAAACATCCCACACACACAACCTTGATTACACACCAGTCCTGTTAACATTTGAGACGTGTGTGTGGGTGACTGTATTACAATTTTTTCAGTTTGGAAGAAAATTCCTGAACTGATTAAATTAAAATTGGACCCACCTCAACCCTGGCATGAAGGCACTGTACGTGAATGCACCCTCGCCCCACACACACACACACACACACACACACACACACACACACACACACACACACACACACACACAGAATCCTTCAGTCCAAGATGAATTGATTCACCTTTCACGTCAGCCCAACTTCCACTCACTGTGACAGATTACATCTATAAGTCAACCTATGATTCATTGGGTCATTCAGCTCTTCTTTTTAGGAGACACACAAACGATTAAAGTGGTAATTTAGAGCCAAAGGAAGGTAAGTTTGATTGATAGCAGCTCAGTAAATGGGCATTGAATATAATAAAACAATACAATTCATTTAAATAGTTCAATTTCTTCCTGAATCTACGGAATCTGCTTTCATTTCGCAAATGACATCGCACAAAACTGGATTAAACATCAGACTCGATTGTGGATTTTTTTCAGTAAGCAAGTGGTTAATGAGGAGGCCCTTTACACAGTATAAACACAATAATAGGATTACACCCTTTGGAGATTAACCCTGTCACATAGCCACCAAAGCAGGTCACAAAGGGTTAATGGCAAGTTTTGCGTTTGTTTTTTTCTAACCTGACAGATCGATGGGTTTTTGCTGAGTCCAGGTAGAGCTGAGTAACTCAAGAAGAGGAAAATAAGAAAAAGAATCCAGTGATTAAGCTGCTTTAGTGAGCTTTTAGTGTGTTAAAACACCAAGAGGCCACCAGGTGGAGCAGTTCTCCCAAACAAGTGCCAGCACTCTGCAGAGAACATCCTTCTATTTTTATCGCAATGATTTGACATAAACAATGCCGTGACCTTTCACCTGGTCCCCGCGTTCCATTACTACCCTCTGCCCCACTTGTCAGTCACATCCAGTCCATTATTCAGGCACACAGTGTGCTCTCAACGCGGCTGTGAATAGAGTCCAGGGCTGCACCTGTGATTAGGGTGCTTTGGTTCAAAAGCAGAGTTCAAAAGCAACATCAAAGACGGGGAAAGAGCAACACGGCAGCCAGTATCAAGCCTCAGAAAGCCTCTTCAAAAGAGGAGATGAAGAGCTGAGATGGTAGAAATAGGCTCTTTTAATTCAAAATGGTAGGGAAAAAATGGAAAAAGAGAGGACAAAGCAAAAAGTAAAGGAGACATTTCAGCCCACAAGGCTTTGATCATCGCATCTCAGCTTCTTAATGTCCTTTTAAAGACTAAATGCCCTAACTGGCTGCTGTACCACTTCCTCTTCCTACTTTTCATTTGGGAAGAGAAACTGTCTCCGAGCGCTATATGACCCTGATTGTTGACGTTGCATCATCGTAAGTGCAATTCTGCATCTTTGTGTCATCCAGGCCCAGTTTAAAAACTTTCTTGCATTCTTTGTCTGGTTTGTTTTAGATACCGCGAGTAGCACCAAACACTCCCAAAATACTTGCATCCCCTTTTTGACCCTGGGTATAATGTAATTCATTTTGCACAAAGCAGAGGTAAAGTATTACACTAAAATAATTCATGAACAGCCTACCTCTTTGATCGTATTGCACTCTGATTTCTCTCTGTCTTTCTCTAAACCTGTGAGCATTACCTGGGGACGAAGAGGAGAATAACGTAGAGGACCATGCGAAGGAGCAAGTCTACCAGGGTTTGGAAGGTTGGGTGTCGCTCTCCTCTACAGGGAGCACGAGAGGAGGAAGAGGAGGAAGAGGAGGACGGGGAGGTGGAAGAGGAGGAGGCAGTTTCTGCTGGGGACCTGGATGGAGCAGGGGAAGGTTTGGGGAGAGCCATCTGAAGAGGAAGATTGCTGGAAGGGAGTTCATGAAACCTTGATTTGGGGGTTGCAGGAGCCAAACATGGATCTGGAAGACAAGTGGGTGGTTGTGTTGATTTCCTTTGGAGGTGAGGAGGAGGTGGCAGAGGAAGGGATTGGAGGTTTGCGGGTGTGTTTGTCAGGGGAAGCTGCAAAGAAAGTGGATGAGGAGGAGGAGGAGGAGGAGGAATGGAAGTAACCGAAGAAAGAGGCATCAAGGCTGTGGAGGTAGGAGCTACCTCAGAGGGTAAATCTGTCACTATGGGGCTGAGCTGGTTGGGGGAGACTAGGTCTGGAGGCTCCAAGGGGCTACATGTTGTAATATCCCACCTCTGCCAGAAGGGGTCATTCTCCTCGCTGTCTTTAAGTGCAAGCCTGGGTGAGTACAAACGCTCAAGTCGCTCGCTCAGGTAGCTCGAGTAGAATAACTGGGCAGCAAAGTTCATCCTGGTCGAAGCACAGTCCTCCTACAGTCCAACAAGTCTCTGCATCCGAATCCCTCTTGTCCTCCGGCTGCTGTGGTGTGTCCGAGGGATAAGAGGACACTGACTGGAGCTGCCCCCGCGGCGTAACGTCCCCTGCCCCCAGCTCCCTCCCTCTTTCCCTTCCCAGGGGCTATTTAAGAACGGATTACCCAGGGACACATGCACAGTGGCTCTGCAATGCCTCTATTCCTGGGCCCAGACCGGGATTACTTCCCCTTTATATGACGTAGTGCTAATCAGACGGTCTAAGGAGATAGATGCAGACTTAGAGTTTATCTAGGGAGCAGTGATCTGGAGGCTCAACCACATAGAGGAGGCGACTATGGATGGAGGATCAGAAATGAAAGAAAGTGGGGTGGCGGGTGCCTAAAAAAGGTAGAGATGCAGGTTTGAGAATTGCTGATAATTGTACCTGAAAAATCTGAGAAAATGAGCCACAAGTAACTCTCACATCTTAATGTTACATATTGAGAATTCAAGTGTATTGCACTTCACATCAAACTGCTCTCTGTGAGGAACACAGAGGGCAACAGTAGACAATTTTCTGTTCAGCTGTCAGATGTCAGTGCTCACATCTGTAAGAAACTGAGGCAGGATGTTGCTGCAGAGGAGCAAGGCTTCCCTGGATACATTTGAACACAACAATCGAGCAGTACATGTAGTACAACTGTAGAGACAGACAGACTGCCAGGCAGACAGATCACAGAGACTTTAGGGAGAGTTGAGGGGAGGTAAATTGGCTGCTGCCAGCGCTCAGCAGCCAGACCAGATCCTATTCAGCTCTGATCGGATGTCCAACGTGTCCCTCATAATGATAATGAGTGTGTTCCAACTCCGATCACTACGGTAATGTGTATAATCACAGATAGTCCCTTTACCGTGGCTCCAACTGTATTTGGAAGTAAATCTGAGCGTAATCTGAGTGTGAGATGGGTGCAGATAACTGCCTCTGTGTCAAGTAAAGTGTCAGTCACAGCGAAGGAAACTAAGAGGTTAGAAGAGGAGTGTTTGTGTTATATCTTTAACAGTACAAATTACACACAGATCTGAAAATATGATCTTACATCGGAATTTTAGTCAATAAATTAAATAAAAATTCCCAAATTCCCTTTGCATAGCTCTGACCTGTTCTTTTATGGTAAGCAGAAAAGCACATGCTAAGTAATTAATCAACAACACCATTAATAACAAGCACATCATGTTTAATTAGGAAAGTAGTTTAAAAACCCTCACCAAGGGCAACCATTTACAGCACACTGCCATTAGAAACAGCTAAAATAAGCTGATAATTAGCCTGATCAGCCAGCGTCAGTAATCAATACACACGTTATTAAACCATTAATCAAACTAATAACAAACAGCAGTTAATGTCGGACGACATTATCATATAAACTGCTGAACAGTGACCTAGTGTTTCTGTAGTGGTGATAAACGTTTAAAAGTATACATATTAGTACTCAACTAAAAGCTCCCTGCACCAAACTCCCTTTAAGAAATTTCACAATTTAACAATTCCTAGCGTGTTTATAACAACAAGTAACTCTGGCCAGATAAAATATGTCATTTGTCAGCAGTCTTCTGGTCAATTCGGCATCAATATAATCCATAAATATAAAGTATATCCTGTTCATAACTTCCATCACTTTCTGTGTGTACTGCTAAGTGCAACATGACAAATGCCTTCGTGAAGAGACTGTAAGTGGGGGTTGTTTCCCTTTTGTACGATTCCCCCACAATGACAGCATGCAGTTTGCCCGTCCTTTGAGTGTAGCCATTCACAACAGGTATAAACATTTTACCCTTAGACGATATACAGTGCAGTCTACTTCATTTGAAGCATACTGCACCCTTTTCAATTACTAAATGCCACTGCATGCTGGGATTTGTCAGTGGTGTGGTGGTGACAGAGGAACCAGGGTTTGAACTTCTCTCAGCTCTCTTTTTCATTCTTCACACAACTATTTCTGTCACTTTTCATAGGAACAACCAAGTGCAACACTATGAATGTCTTCCAGGGGAGCGTGTGAAAATGTGCTTCTCCATCCGCCTTCCGGGAAACAACTATAATGGTCGGACGACACATCTTACAAACTAGTTCTCACATCCCGCACCAAATGATGAAAAGTTAACGTAAGCAACTGCTCCAAACAATAATCTCATATACATGTATAGCAAGTTATATATGTACTATATTACTAAATTGCTTTTCTTTTTGCTGGAAAACACATGAAATACCTGGCAAGATACTGTATCTTGCCAGGTTTGTTATTTAACAACATTTCCCTATTGTGTGAACAGAAAACGTAATTCGGTCTGCATTGTGTTTCCCTATGAATGTATAACAGCCATGAAATAGGGTAAAGATAAGTGTTATCAATGAAACTAGTTAAAGTTCTGTAATTATAGCCAACATGCACAATAGCAGCAACCTCACTCTGTTTGACCTGAATGTTACCTGGTAACCTAAATTAGTATCGTAGGTAATGTCTTTGTTTACCCAACTAAATAGTAGTAAATATAGCTGCTGTGAAAAAGGTCTATTGTGTAATAGGAACTTTATGTGGCAGAAGAGAGCTTCATGATTTCGAACATTACTTTTTTTGGACATAAAGTAAGTGAAGTAAGTCAGACAGCTGAAGTTATTAAAGCATGGGAAATGTCCCCAGTTGGTCCATTAAACCGACTGATGAGGATTATAGTTTTGTCTACAGAAGTTATAAATGTGCAGACTGTGGAAAGAGAAGCGATACCAACTCTGAATAGCTGAAAGATTTATCTTTCACAGTTGCTGTATCTACCAGTAAGCTGACCATATGACAGACCTTACAGTACAGCTGCTGATGGCAGGGGCGTGTCCACACTTTTTGAACTCTGTTGGGACAAGTGGGGCACCGCGGGGGTGGCATGAAGAATGTGTCTCAGCTTTCCAGTCATTCCCAATTGATGCAATTCCAACTCTATGGACCGCAGTATGCAGAAATATTCAAATACAATACGCTAAATACACCACAGGCAAAGAACTGCATGGGATTAGCATAAGGTTGGCGTGTCTGCAAAGTTGAGACGTCTGGGTACCCAAAGAACCTATTTTCATTCAGATATCTTGAGGTCAGAGGTCAAAGGGATCAATTTTTTGGAGCAGCCACCTTCCCGACATGCTAGCATGACATGACATTCAGTTTCATATGATACCAAGATCTTAAGACATGATAAGATGGTGACGGTGTAGAAATAAACATAACTGCACACTATAATAAAAGTATATACAGCAGTGTAATTTAAAGGTAATATAGGCTATAAATATACAGTACAGGTATAATATAATCTTAAAAATGTGCATATATATATATATATATATATATATATATATATATATATATATGTAGGAATGGACAGTCCAGGTATAAAATAGTACAAAGCAGTGATAAGTGTCTGATGTGGCGGTGCTACATTATGTCACTGCTGTTGTCTGGCTGCTGTTGGAACGAAGGGCCTGTGATAGCGCTCCTTCTTCCACTGTGGGTGCAGCAGTCTGATGCTGAACTCTGAAGTCACTTTATCCTCTGAAAAGAGTGGACGATGTCAGGATAATGGGGGTGGCCAGCGACACCCCACCCCAGACACACCCCTGGCTGATAGTTTGTTTAAGTACAGCGACTCTACAATAGGATTAGGACACAGTCAAAGGAAACCGAAGGTCAGCTACTGAGTAGTTTTAAACGCAGAAGGTGGAGATCTGGTTCCTTTGATGGACTCCACACACACACACACACACACACACACACACACACACACACACACACACACACACACCCTCGCCCAATTAAGATTTAGCTCCTTAAAAAGTGTCAGGAAGACGGCGTGTACCAGGGGTCAGACAGGAACAGAGAGCTGAGCTCACTTCTTGGCAACAACAAGTGTTCAGTGAGCTCCGTGTTCAGCTGTTTGTTTGAAAATGATGAAGGCTGTAGCATTGAGGGTCTCTATCTTCCTATGCTTGTGAGGACATGTGGTCATCATTAACGACCTCCAGGCATTACATTGAACAAAACAGACGTATAGACAGCGCTGGACAGGAATAGACGGTGAGAAGGTGACCCCGCCTCCAGCTGGTTTGTCACACCACTGATCAGCGTGACGTCGGCTGACTGGTTGCCATGATCCTCTGGCTCTGTGCTCATGTAGACGCTCTGTGCTTCACCGTGTGTCTGCTGGCGGGACTTAGACTGACATTCACTCCCTGAACGAAGGGTCACAAGATGAACTTTGGCATACATTTAATAACACGCCGTTAGAATACTCTTTTATGGGAGACTCGTGGTTTGATACCTTCTCATCAGAAACAAATACATTTGAAATATTATTGTTTCTATTATCTATTCTGAGCTCTGAGCTAGTTCACATTACATAATTAGGACCCTAATAATATGGGGCTTACTGTAAAAGGAGCAATATGCTGTTAGACAAATTGTCTTAATAAAAACAGGTTGTAGGCTTAATTGATGTCTGTAATGTAATTTATATTTTATGAAATACATTTTAGGACAAATGCATGTAAATCATAATAATTGTTTAACATTAATACCACCTATTAAATGTAAATCTTTGTATTATATTATGGTTCTTTGTTGTGTGATGTTTAAGGTGTCAGATTCATTCAGACAGTATGAAACGAGTCTTCTTTTACTTGCTTTGTGTGATTAATGTGATTTTTTAATCTTTTTTTCTCTTCTCCTAAGAGGATGTACAAGTTTCCAATGACTTTGGTAAAACTATAAATCAGTAACTCTTGGAATATAACCGTTTCTTCTCTCGTGTCCTTGGCCTATATCTCCTTTTTTTAATCTACAGACAGACAGAAATGTCTCCTGACTCTCCTCCCTCCTTTGATCCCTTCACTCACTTTTCCTCCAGTTTTGCTTTAACCTGTAGATCTGCTTAACGGGGCCAGACAAGAGAGCAGAGCACGAGGCTGAAGACAGTCTGGCTTAATGAAGATAACCATGTTTGCTACGTAACAGTCTTGGCTGTGTGTTTGTGTGTGTGGGAAGGTGTGTGAGTCACAAACAGTGCGGGAG